CCCTCCCCTCCCGCGCTAGCCTAAGGGCCACCTTAGCAAAGCGCATCCCAGGCTGCATAGCCGCACTACCCTACCCAACCATACCACACATAAACATGACACTACCCCCGGGGTTTACACAGACGAGCCGGCGAAGCAAGAAGAGCGCCAGAAGAAAGGGCCCTAGCCGGCGGGGCCCAGCCAGGACAAAAGGAGGTCCCACAAAGCGCCTACACCGGCCGCATTTGCGGTCGGGGTAGACGACGGATGGGGCCCACCTACGAAGGCTGTCCAGGCCTACACGAGATGTGGCAACATAAAGAGGGATAATCCCCCTCGATCCCAAATCATTGAGGCCAATTTCTAGCCATGGAATAATGGCGCGGCGCGGCTTCGACAAAAACAAACCATTGCCGCTGCCGCTGTCAGGTGTCGATGCTGAGCTGAGCAGCTCATTCGTGGTGGGGAAGATAGATAGTAAAATTGAGTCAAGGCAAAAGAACTACAGTTCATTTCGAACTGTAAAAATGAACTATTCTTTGAAGTGAGTAGTTCATAAACGAACTATTCAGCAAAGTGAACTGCAACGCCCATCTCTACAAGATTCGACTTGTTTAATACATTTTATACTAGTTTACTGAGCTCGTTATACAGAACTGGAAAGCGCATTTTATTACGGTTTGGTAAAGAAATAACAATGTTTAGAATTGAATGCACTATTCTGATTCATTTCAATTGGATGACATGGTTTATGCAAGTAATTTTATCCAACAGAACGAAAGGAAAAGGAGAAGATAGTTCTAATCTAGTATCTCACTTTTGTATTCTGTAATTTTGACATAATTCCTGTTCTGTAATAGCCAACATAGACTTATCAATATAACTAAATTTAAATATTCAAAATGAAGTTTTTTATGCTTTAGAATTTTATTAAATTCTACTCTTCAATAAATAGTATAATAAGATGATAAGTATAATAAGCCTGTAAACCACTTTTTGGGATTGTATTTCTTTATGGACTCGAAGAATGGACACTGACTAAAATATAAACTAAACGATATAGAGGAATAAACTCCCATAATAGTTTTAAGTTGGTTACCCTTACCTTACCACATCTTCCCGGGTTTTTGTTTATCACAATTCACAAACACGTAATTTGCTTGATTAGCACTACCGGTCTGTTGATGAGCGTCACTCGTTAGTTTGAGTTTGAGCATAGATAATAGTTTGAGTTTGACTGCAATAGAAGCTTGAGTGTCGTAAACCAAAAATATTTGTACTTTTAAAACACCTTAAATAGTAAAATGGATTTTCCATATAGGGCTGAGTATGCCAAATCTAGCCGTTCAGGATGTAAGGGGTGTAGAACTACGATTCAGCAGGGTGATCTCAGACTTGCTGTTATGGTGCAGGTAAGTACCACAATATACCCATGTTTTGAAAAATTATGCAATGGATATATAGATAAATAAATCAAAATAGAGACAAACCGAATAGAAAGAAAACAGTTTCATATACATTTTTTTAGTCCCCCATGTTTGATGGAAAAGTTACTCAGTGGTATCACATGAAGTGTTTCTTCAAGAAACAGAGACCCAAAACAACAGACGACATAGAACATTTCGAGTCTCTCCGTGTCTCAGATCAAGACAATATTAAGAGTCAAGTAGGTGTCTCTTCAATAGCCATTGTACCGGATAAGAAGGGCAAGAAGCGTGCCGGAGATGCAGCACTGAAAAATGCTGCATTGAAAGATTTTAAGATAGAATATTCCAAATCTGGCCGTGCTACGTGTAGGGGTTGCGAACAGAAAATTTTAAAAGATGAGGTATTTTTTGTTTCATTTTTGATTACCTTCATTATCTCTTATAACTTTATATTTGATATTCAAAATTCAAAATTTAAGTCTCATCTTTTTCATTAATTAAAGATGAGGAAGCTGACGTTCTCATTTTGTTTCTTGGAACTTGTCGGGTTTGAATCTAAGTGGTCTGATATCAATTGGTTTTATATAACATTTTTAGATTCGCATATCAAAAAAAGATTTCGATACCGAAGTGGGCAAGAAATATGGGGGTCAAGACATGTGGCACCACGTCACTTGTTTTGCTCAATTAAGATCAGAACTAGCCTTTTTTGAGTGCGGGGATAAATTGCCCGGGTTTAAAAGCCTGAAAAAGGAGGATCAAGCGGTGGTTAAAAAAGAAATCCCGTGAGTTGTACCCATCTTAAAAATTATCAATCGGCAATAATTTCTTTTTTCTTTTAGAGCGATAAAGCAAGAAGATGTTCCCGATGCGAAGAAAATAAAGACTGAAGATTTTGAAGAGAACGATCCTAACGAGAAAGAATATCGGCGACAGAATAAAATCATGTTTGATTACAGGGATCAATTAAAGAACCAATTGAAGCCGAGTGAACTCGAGGAGCTGTTGGAACATAATAAGCAGCAGCCAAGTAAAGGAAAAGACGAGGTAACTGTTATAAAATATATACGAACAGGTCCGTACGAAGAATTAAAATATATTTTTCAGCTGCTGGACCAACTTGCAGATGCGATGTCATTCGGCGCACTTAAACCCTGCCCGAAATGTAAAAGGGGTCAATTGAAATTCAACAAAATAGGATACGTGTGTACTGGGGACTTGACGGAATGGACAAAGTGTTCCAATGTGGAGAAGGAACCGAAAAGGACTGCTTTCAAGGTGCCGGAGGTGTTGAAGGAAAAGTACCATTTCTTGAAGGCCTATAAGTATGTACCCTGCAAGAGGGTTATTAAAGAAGTTCATTCGACAGTGACTCTGAAAAAGGATGTTAAAGAGGAAGAGTCTGAGTGAGTACTGTAAAAAACATTATTTTGCTTTATGTTTATATTTTTTTTTTACATAGACCCAAAGTGAAGCGGGCATTGCCGTCACTCTACGACATGGAATTCGTGATTGTCGGACATCCCTCTAAAAGCAAGGATGAAATTAAGAAACTAGTGACCTCTATGGGCGGCAAAGTAACCACAAAAATAAAAGAATCTGTGATGGCCGTGATTTCGACCGCAGAGGAAGTAGAGAAAATGGGTGCTAGGATGCTGGAAGTGGAAAGGTGCCAGATCCACGTCGTGCCGGACGATTTCCTTGACGAGGCCAAGGACAATGCGGGCAAAATCCCGGATTTGATCATCAAGAAAAGTCTCTGCAACTGGGGTGCAGACGTGAGTACAAAACGTTTTCCTTCAAGGTCATTTATCACAAATTTTTTAGTTTTTCAATTATTGCAACAATTTACCTGTTTTTCTGTAGTACGTAAGTCGAGTACGATTCCAGAGGTTCTCAATAAGTTTAAAAAATTTCGATTATTATAAAGTCTATTAATGTTTATCAGCCTACCACTCGTGTACCATCGGCGCCTTCGACGAGCAGCTCTAAATCCAAGTCGGGCAGCAGGTATACCAGTTCCGTGCCCAGCAAAGTAAAACTGAAGCTCAAGGGAGGCGTTGCTGTCGATCCCGACTCGGGACTTGAGGATGTCGCGCACGTCTACCTGGAGGGCCAGGACAAGTACACCGTTACTCTGGGCCTCACCGACATTCAGAGCAAGAAGAATAGTTATTACAAGTTGCAGCTGCTGGCCGCCGACAGGGGCAATCAGTACTGGCTGTTCCGATCCTGGGGCAGAATAGGGACCACTATCGGAGGTCAGTTAATTTTGGATTCGAATGCATTCTTATATATTAAAAGGTGCAGGTGGTTTTTTTTGCTAGCCACCATCAAGTTTGGTCAAAGGACCAATTTTCAAGATCGTTTTTGGAAATGCGTCCTGCTTTTGACTTGCAATTAGTACTAGAATAATCGTTTGCGTTTTTATTTCATATTTCCGGAGAGATAAAGAAACCATTTTATTTCTCTTGTAGGCAACAAAGTGGAACCGATGTCGACTCTCGTCGAGGCCAAGAAGCAATTCCGGTCGTTTTACGAAGCGAAAACCGGTAACGCGTGGGAGCAGCATAATTTCTTTGTCAAGGTACCAGGTAGGATGTGCCCCATCGACGTGGATTACGGTGACATGGACCAGATCAATCTGGACATCGTGGAGGCCGATTCGAACCTCCCCAAACCCGTGCAGGACCTGATGAGACTTATATTCGATATCAACTCCATGAAGAAGCTCATGGCGGAGTTCGAACTGGACATGGAGAAGATGCCGTTGGGCAAGCTGAGCAGCGCACAGATACGTAAGGCCTTTGCGGTGCTGGGCGAGCTGCAGCAGTTGATAGATTCGGGAAATCCCGACGAGATGCAGCTACTCGACGCCACTAACAGGTTTTATACGTTTATTCCGCATTCGTTCGGTGTAGACGATCCGCCTATACTGAGAGACTCGGAAGTTATTAAGGTCAGTTTAACATCGACAAACTTGTTTTTTCAATTATCAGTTATTTGCAGGCATAAATCGTACACATTGTATATATTTTTCTTTAAACTATTAATATTGTTTTAATTTATCGAATTTCAGCAAAAACTGGAGATGTTGGACAGCTTAACAGAAATGGAGATCGCTTACAACTTGATGAAATCATCAGGATCCGAGCACACAGTAGACAGCTACTACAAGCAACTCAACACGGAAATAGACGTTTTGGACCGCGAATCCGAGGAGTTCACGATCATCCAAGAGTACGTCACGAACACTCACGCCGCCACCCATTCCAGTTACACGTTGGAAATCGAGGAAGTCTACATAGTCAAGCGGGAGGGCGAGGACAAGCGATTCAAGCCCTTCCGCAAGTTGCACAACCACAAACTGTTGTGGCACGGTTCTCGGGTGACCAACTTCGCTGGTATCCTGTCGCAGGGGTTGAGAATCGCGCCTCCCGAGGCTCCCGTCACCGGTTACATGTTCGGTAAAGGCGTGTACTTTGCCGACATGGTGTCCAAGTCTGCGAATTACTGTAACACGACCGTCACGGCGCCTACCGGACTGTTATTGCTGTGTGACGTCGCTCTGGGCAGTGTAAGTGCTTGTACATGGGGCGGAACGGGTTTTAATGGAGAAGCTTCGCCAGACGGCAGGATGTACGGTTTTTGGCAAATACTGGCATAGATTTTTTTTAAATAAAGCGTTAATTATCAAGAAAAAACATCGAGAACATATTCAACGTCCCTATACTTTTTGAAAATGATGAAAATTTTTATTATTTTCTCAAAAATGCTCAATTATTTCTGATTTTCTCAAGAATGCTCTCTAAATGCTCAATATTTCTTAATATTTGCAAAACGTACCATAATGACCCGCATGTGAGGTAAACTATTTCGAATTTTTTATTTCCTGGAATAGCGGACATAAATAAAATTCTTCCACAGAAACGTGTACGGTTCATGGATTTTTCTCCCGTCTTCAGAGATTTTACGAAAATTTATCAATGCGAATCTTGAAAACGAAGCGTTCTGCATATCAGTGTTCTGCCACGGTGGAGTTTTTCGATTCAAACTCGTTGCATCCTGTGCGACTATTAAGGATTTGCGGCGAAGCACCAAAAATTTTTATTTTCAGATGTACGAGCTGTTCCATTCGAAGTATATAGAGAAATTGCCCAAAGGGAAGCACAGCACGAAAGGCGTGGGTGGCACGGAGCCCGATCCGACCGGTTTTAAGACCTTACACGACATCGAAGTACCGGCAGGGAAAGGAATCAGGAATTCCTCTATCAACACGTCGTTGCTGTACAACGAGTATCCTTTTACCTAGACGATTATTTTTTTTTTTAAAGTTAGGCAAGATAACGGTGATTTTCCTCAACACGTTTTTCCAGGTACGTCGTATACGACGTCGCCCAGGTCAATGTTAAATATTTGTTGAAAGTTAACTTCAAGTACAAGTACTAATACCTCAAACGGGTCTACGTAGCGCTTAAGATTGGAAAAGTGGAATGTTTCTTCACACTGATAATAATAGTTAAGTATATCCTGTTTTCGTTTGTTCTTATGTTATTTAACTTTGATATATGTATGTTCGCTTGTATTTTTGTAATAAAATATCTAAATTAGTAATGTGCTGTGTTTATAAAATTTGGAAATACAAGATCGTTGGGCGAGACTTGAATTAGAGAGAAATTCCTTTGTTATTTTAAAATGCAGCAGTTAACGGACTCCCAAAACATCGTGATGTGTTCTATCACATTCTTGTGGACGATTTGTAAAAAAGTTTAGGGTTTCTGGAAAATTACCACCTCTGGACAATAAAACAAATGTTCCTTCTTGCATAATTTGACTACTTTATTGTAAAATCTAAGATAGAAAAATGACAATGTTCATTATGCTCAGAAACAAACAAACAAAATTTAAAGAGCAAGGCAAGACGTAGTTTACAATGGTGTAGTTTCAATTTAGGGCAATATACAAATGTAAAGGTGAACCACATTCATTTGAGCCCTGAGGGTAGGATGCGCAGTGGCAAAGTACTGGAGTGGGGGGGACTATTAGACCGATCGAAATAACTCATTTAGAGGGAAAAAAAAAGAAAATTGTTACCTGGACTTTATAAGTGGAAACGATAAAGGGGCTTATAATAAACGAAAGAAAAATAAATGTGTGAGCAGGGGTGGCGGAGAGTTGATTTAGGGCTGCAGTCGGCAACTGGCGGACTGCGGTCCAGATCCGGACCGCGGAAGGTAAAAAACGACTGCCAAAAATGTTTTGAAAGTATAATCATTCAAATTATTTAAAAAATATATTTTTCTATAGATATCATTATCATCATCATGTCATGTTGTCATATTATCATTTTTTAATGGTTAGTAGGTCGGTAAAAAAACTGACTCAAGACCGCAAATGTAATTTCTCCCATTGATTTTTGAATGCAAATTGCTATTCTATTGAATTCATATAATTTTGTGAGTGCAAATTAAAACAAAAAGATTAGTAAAGAATATGAGGTTTTTTCTGGACCTCGTTAAAAATTTTCAAAAGTATCCGGACTCCACCTAAAATTACTTGCCGACCCTTGATTTAGGGGGTTGAAAAGTTGTGAAAAATTGTATCATTGGGATTAGGTGAAAGTTGACATCAAACAAAAAAGTCTTCCATACAGTTGTAGATCATGCAAAAATCTACAACATTTGTAGAGGTCACTTTTTAAGTAACCTCAAAATTTCCGAGAAAAATGCAAAAAACAGGTTTTTTTCTTATTTTTCGTTTTTTATTTCTCATTTCTGCAAAAATAATTTAATTTTGACGAAACTTGGTGAGAGTATACCTTTCTGTGTCTGTCTTAAATAATCGCAAATTTTTTTACATAAAAAAATCAAGTTTCCGAAACACTTTTCAACGAAAAATTCTACTTAAATCATCGTACAGAGTTCTGTCGGTGATCATTTTTTTCGTTTTGATATATACTTTTTGGTGAAATAAAAAAATCTGTAATCACAATTCAATTCAGTTACAATATCATCAAAATTAAAAATGACTAGATTTTGTCATAAAAATAGCAGCAACGTATTTAAAAAAATTAACCTGATGATGGCCCCTCGAAGACGAAACGTCGGATTGCAAAAATGTTGATGCCATTGGACGAAGCGAAAAAAGTGGCAATGTAAATATGCAAATTATTTTAAAATTCGTTTTCAAATAAAGCCAGAAAAAAAATAAAATGATTGCAAAATTTCAGGTTTTGTGTCAACAGTACTTTGCAGTTAATACTTTGTATTGCTGAAATCTCAAATCAACCAGAGATAATTTATCATTTGTGCATTTGTAATTCAAACTTAGATGTTTATAGCAATACCTACTGTACAAAAATAAAGTTTTGGGTCAAACAATGAGACAGTCTTCTTTGTATTTTTTTCCGTAGAATGAATGGTGTAGTCAGTTTTTGAATTTTTTTTTTAATTTAAACAAATTATCAATTACTGAAAAATTCATTGTTGCGTCAGTTTTTATTTTTTTTGCATTTTTGAGCACGTTTTTGAACTGTGATTAAGTTTTTTCATTTCACCAAAAAGTATATGTTAAAACGAAAAAAATGATAACTGACAGAACTCTGTACAATGATTTTCCTTAAAAAAAAAAGTGTTTCAGACCTGAAAAAAATGAATATCTCGGAAACTTCTTGATTTTTTATCTGAAAAAATGTGTGGTTGTTTAAGACACAGAAAGGTATACTTTCATCAAGTTTCGTCAAAATTAAGTTATTTTTCCGGAAATGAGAAATAAAAAATTAAAAATCGGAGAAAAAACTCGCATTTTTCTCGTAAATTTTGAGGTTAACGTAAAAAGTGACCTCTACAAAAGTTGTAGATTTTTGTATGATCTACAACTTCTGTATGGGATACTTTTTTGTTTGACGTCAATTTATGCCAGAAATCCCAATGATACAATTTCTGAACTTCCCAAATCAACCCTCCGCCACCCCTGCTCACGCATTTACTTTTTTTTAGGTTGTTTATAAGCCCATTTACCATTTCCACTTATAAAAGTCCAAGCAACAATTTTTTTTTCTCCAAGTGTAATTTGGTTGGACTATATGGCCAAAGCATATGAAAACCAGCAAATTCATACGAGTGGAAATCGTAAAACGGTTATACCAGGCTACACATTGTTTTCAGTTTGCAGAGGCCCACCGCAATTTGCCAGTTGCTTAAAAAAAAATTTAGATATACATACGTGTTAAAATAAATAAAATGTTTTCTAACAATTCAGACGATACATTTTTATTACGGCCCTGATCAGCAGTTCTCCGGGTTCACCGAAAATGGCTAAATGAGATCAATATGCCGACAGCGGAGTGCAGCAGCTGGTTTACATAAACTGTGCTACAGGTTTATCTGCTGCGCTCACTATTTCATTTGCGCTTTTCAGGGCTCAAGTGAAATTTGTATGGTTTTATACGGAATAAGTACAAAGAGAATCTAATATCCTTGACTCGTCATGAGGACTACTACTGAATTAAAAGAAAGTTCACAAAAAATATACAAGATCCAAAGATAGAGAATATCATACAGTAACTCCTGAAAATGCAAATATTACAACCATTACAGGTATCAAGAAGGTGCATATTTTTTAATTTCTTTAACAATAAAACATGTTAAGAAAACCAATTAATTAAAAATTTAGTGTTTTTATTTAATTCGGTATTTATGTCGCATTGGAAAGAAAAATAACAGTTAACATTTTTCTCCTCACTGCTGCAGAAATGTCAAATAAAAACGGTAACAAAAAATGCCACAAATAAATAATTAGACAATAATCAAAAAGTATAAAGCACTATTACGTACGAGGAAATAGTTGTTTGTACTTTATTTCACCCTGAAAAACTTCGCATAATCTCAAGAGTTTGTTGTAATCGTTAACAGACTTCCACCTGCAAGCGCAATACAATTCGCATTCTTGTAATATCATAATGACACGGTATTTCTTTACATCATTCGCCAAGTTACAATTAACGAGAAACTAGTATAGATATTGCGTTTTCACAATATCATGATACCATAAGAACGTGCCTTCTACCGTGCCTATTTGCGGAAGCTTTAAAGCATAAAAATACTCTGTGTTTCAGTGACGATGACATAATAAATGACAAATTTCAATATTTCGAATACATTAAATCTTTACTCGATGTTTTAGTGTTTTTTTTTGGGTATTTTGCCACTGCAAATTAGATATTAAAATATAAACCCATTTATCCGTAAGAATCAGTCGTGATTTTAGCAAACTCATTAATTGAAGCAGTCATTATTTAATACAGTCTTCCTACATGATTACAAGCCACGTGACTAGTGATTTTGTTTGAAACGGTAATTTTATTTCCTTCGCGTTGGTAATTGATAGAATTAAAAATTATTAATCAGTAAGATCAAGATTATGTTAAAACACAACATTCTGTTTCACAGGCTCATGATTGGTGTAATCGGCGATTGTAATATCTCGATCGTAGATGCAACAGTTTGTCATTGTTCACCATAAATGAATTCACAGAACCAATGTGCAATATTGGTTGCCTAAGCTCGACGGTCATGTGGCTTGTAATCATTTATGATTTTTATGTTCCATGACAAAAAACATCAAATGAAATTTGTGGAAGAAAAATTAAAGTAGAGATTGCTAACCCTGAGATTTCGAAAAAGGACTAATTATATCTAACATTTGAATTTGAAAGTCTATGTTTAATTTTTTATTTAATTTGCAGTACAGAGAAATACCCCAAAATAAAAAAGAACTACATACTTAAGGAAAACCACAAATACATACTTTCAGACAATATAACATGTCCGTTTTACAACAAACCCCGTGCAAAAAAACTAACCTTCCTTAGCCAAATGCCAATTTATTTAACAATTCACATTATCATCGATCTGGACAATTTTATCTGTGAACTGTATCAGCCCCCAGTTGCCCGTTTCCATCCATTTGGGATCCTGGGCCTCTATTTTTTCCGCCACCCCCTCTTCCAGCCCACAAACGATATCCGCTTTAACCGTTCGTAAAATGCAGAGTTTCGTCGGGTTGAAACCCTGCAAACCGTCGTCGATGGATGTAGCAGGGTCCCAGTTACGCTCCCCGAATAACTTCCGGTAGTTCAAGTCGCCTTTGAAGAAAGCCACCTTAGCTTCGGCTAACTGTCTGTATAAAATCGGATCTACTTTTGCCATGTAAGTAAATTCGAAGGGCAAAGTCCAAAAATGACTTTCCATTATTTGCCAGGTGCCTCTTTCCACGTAATCCGACCATCGTTCGCCTAACGATTTCAGCGATTGATTTCCGTTGTCTTTTAACTGTTCTAGAGTCCACTTGAAATCGGGTGTTGTCACGTCGGATATGAACCAGGGTATAGTTTTCACGTAAATCCGGACCTTGGAAGCTAAGCTTTTCGAAATTATATAGTCCGCTAGACACAAGTCTGTGAATACTTCATAGCCGCTATTATCGAGGACAATATCTGAAATAAAAACAGTTTTAGCAGTGATTAATAGTTCATCAAGGATATCATCTTACCTATTATGGTATATGAGAAACTGGTATCGGAAACTGCTTCCCAAATCTTTCTCGAGTGGTCACACAGTATGAAAGGATCCAAGGCAGTTGTATTGAAAAGCATTTTATGATCTTCTACTTGTCCTAATGATAACGATAGATCACATTTGTTACCCCACAAATTTAACTAAAAAGAATCACGGATTTGGTAATTATCGAACAATTATCATTGAAAAGGATAAACCTACTTTTAACAAAGAAATGAATTCCTCCATATTTGCATCCAATGAGTTTTCTACAATGTTTAAAATGTACTCTCCCATCTGTCGGATTAAGGGTAAAGCTGTTCTGTAAGCATTTTCTTTTTGACCGCAAAATGGGTCGTAAGTATTTAATAAACTCCTAAAAAAAACTTGTTTATGTCACCTATAGAAACAGGGAAATATTATACTTATAGTTAGCTGATACATTAAAACGAAACCAACTCAAATTTTTTTATTACTCACGTTTGTTCAAAAATTTGTCTCAATCTCCTATACATATAGCATTCCGTCAATAACCAAATAGTATGGAAATGTGTAGGTTGACCGTCTTGTTCAGTTAATGTCGTTATATACTCATTATATATCTTGGCATCTGGCTCTTCACTGGTTAAAAGTTTCAGAGGTTTATTTGTTTGAATCTCGTACTTAAACTCGGATAGTTCTCCTATTACGGTTTTGAGTTCTTCTTGAGCTTCCTGTAAGGTCTCTTTATATATAAACTTGGCAAAAACAAATTGTAGGTATACTTACTTTTCCGTATTGATCGACAATTATATTTTTGCTTCTTACCAAGTTATCGATAAGGGATGTGAGAATAATTGGCATCCGATTCTTCACAGTGTAAAATGCAAAGCTCCTATTTAAAAATGTTAATTTGTATCTATGTAAAAAAATGTATTTCTGTTTAGTTACCTTTTGTAAAACGCCGTTAAATAGACATTCCTTGGAGTTTTTATATCCATTGTTCTACATGAGTTACATTCACACATTTCAAAAAATAAATTTAAATTAATGGCAAGTAATTAATTGTAAAGTGAAGGTGTTTCATGCACATTTATTATATTCACAGAAATCACAGAGTATATTCACTTACTTACATATCAAAATTATGACCTTTACTATCTATACACGGTTAATTTTAAGGTCAAATTTGTATACGTCAGTGTAATAATTAAAATTATAAATTAGTTTTTAGCAGGGAGATGCACATAAAATTAATTTTATCTAATACAGATTCACAATCACAATTTATTTGGTTATGTTTCCCTGTGTCCCTCAATTATTTATAAATGTATGCATGCCCATTTTGGTGAATAAAATGACAAATGTCACTTTTAAATTTGCCGCTTTTTACTAAACTTAAATAACTGAAGAAGAAGAAGAGAATCTAACCCAACTTAGTTTTCTAATTTTGAAGTTTTCAAAAGAGATACTTTTATTTATGTTTACTGTTATGGACGTTATTACTAGATAGTACAGGAAATAATTTAGTCATCATGACTACTCCAGGAAGTGCTATGGACTCTCTAAGTGCGGCATTGAAATGTAATATAATCCCAAATCAGGAATATTTACTTCAGGGTTCAGTTCTCGATCAATATGTAGAAGTATTGCTCCACCGCCTCAGAGGACTGTGTGACAACGTGGACAGCGGTCCTGAATCCTTCCACGATCACGAGTTATGCTTTACACTAAGAGCTACGAATCCTTCAGGAGCACCTATGGTGTTACCGCTGAGAGTAAGGCGAGCTCTGGATGTTAACGATGCCCCATTTCAACTGCGATATGTGGGTCAACAAGAATTAGGAGATAAAAATAGGCCTACCGTAGTTCGTTCTAGTATCGATATGGCTTGCAGTTCTACAATAGTTGAATTTTTAACGGAACTTGGCTGTAGATTGGATTTTGAGTACATCGCCAGGGGTTACATGTTTAGAAAAGGAAGGATGAAGATAACCGTGTCCAAAATATTTAAAATGGGTGGAAACAAGCCAGGTGAAGGGGTGGAACCTATTTCACAGAGTTATTTGGTGGAACTCTCTGTTCTGGCTCCGTCTGGACAAGACGCGATTGGCGAAGATATGCGAGTGTTTGCCGAACAGTTACGGCCACTTGTGCAGTTAGAGAAAATTGATTATAAGCGTCTGGGGAACATGATGTGAATAGGCATATTTGTAATATTTTTATATTTGTGTGTATAGTATTAATTTTATAAATAAACAAATTCTCTTTGCTTCTTCCAACAACGCAGCTTTTAGCCTTTTATAAATTATACCTGTTCCTTAAAAAAACACAAATGAGCAAATTCGGTATTCCATAATTAATATTTCATTAAACCATGTACAAATCGGATTATAAACTTAGCTTTTCTGCTCATATAAAGAAAATTAAATCAACCGCAAAAAAGTGTTGGGTTTTATAAGCAAAAATTGTGAACCAAACTCGAACAATTATTATGAATAGAATGTCTTTCTTTTTTCTTTCTTTTGTATTGTATTTATTTTATTTTTATTTAAATTTTAGTAATAAATTTTTACTTAATTTGTTGTTTAAGTGGAGAAAAAAGTATGTATAACGATTTAAAACAAAGCTTTTATTAATCAATCTCTTCACTGCTTCCTTCAGTATTAGCCGGAGGATTAACGGAGGTGCTCTCGCTATCCACCTCTGTTATCGTATCAAGATCGTCGAGTCTAAGGGCTAAATCGTTCTTATCATCAGCCTTTGTCATTTTGAAAGTGTAGCAATTGTCCCCGTAATCGTCACCCTCTCGTTGCTGCTCTGCAAGCTTAGTAAGGTAGAGATCGTAGGGATCCTGATAGCGGCCGATGAAGTCTGATTCTCTTACGTCCATTTCCTCTGCTTTACTCTCGGTGGTAGTTGGTGTAGTCGCCTCGGTGGACGATTGTGGAGAAGTTGGCTTAGAATACTCTGAAAATAATATTTCAAATTCAGTGATTAGTGAAGTTAGCAATGCCACGCCTTACCTATTTTAGGTAGATCCTCGAATTTGGAGTAGATTGTGTTGTGAATGGTTTTCAAGTTCTCCCTCTGCTGTTGGCGGATCCTGTTTCGGATCAAATTTTTTTGTACCTCGGGCACTACAAAATGATGGACCATGTCTGCTATTATTTCATCCTGCTGGTCTACAGAAATACTTTTAGATCTACAACAAAACGGTTATATATACGGTTCTTTATATACTTTGAAATGACTTATTTCGTAGTAAATTGCTGCATCGAGACATACTTACGCTTCATAAGCCTCGTTTGTCTCTCTCTCGATCCTATCTGCCAGCTTCGTAACGTATTCCCTCGCCTCCTCCTTAGAGGCAAACTCCATCCCCTCCGTGATTATATCTTGCAGGTACATGTCCACAGAGTCCTGAGTCACCTTGACGATCTGCCTGAACATCTCATCGTGCTCCCTTCTCCTCCTCAATTCCTTCTGTCTCCTTCCCGCTTCCGCTGCTTCCCTGACGTAACGCTCTCTCTCGTTCACCAAGCACATGGCGTGGGCCTTTCGCTCCTCCAAAAGTCGCCGTAGCTCCTTGTTGAGAAAGTCCAAGAGGGTGCCCACTATAGACCCCTGGAGTCTGCCCAGCGTACCTTCGAGTCTTAGCACCTGGTAAATAGAAGTGTTAAAGTTTTTATCTTGTCTGTTTTATCATTACGTGGATGGAGAAATATTTACTTACCATGTCCCTCTGCACCAATTCTTCCCTTTGCTGCGCCTTTACCCTGAGTTTTTCTTTCCTCCTTAACTCTTTCTCTTTTTTCAGGAAACCTACTGTATACCTCAACTCTTGTATAAGCTCTTTACACGTATCTCTACCTTCGTAAATCTAAAAATATAGCTTTGGTAGTATGTGGCAAGTTTTTTTATACAGAAAGCGGTCGTGTACAAATCTCTAAAAAGCTCTCACACTGTTACTAAAGTATTTATTTTAAATATTCGGTGAACTAATCTCAGTCGCTGTCCCTACCATCATTTGGGTGGCACGACCTCTGATGATGCTCTGCAGAAGAATAACCGACTGGTACTCCTCTTCTTCCATTTCTGTAACACCCTCGACTTCGGGAGTAGGCACGGCGCTAGGCGCTTTCCCTACTTTTCTTCTCAGGAGCACAGGCTGCTTCTCCGTCTCCTTTCGGAAGCCTAGAAAAGAATACTTAAATAAAACGTTAGTATTTTTTTGTTTATTTATACTCTTCATCTCTTCCTGGAGCAGCTTGAGTACAGGCGCAGTCCATTTGGTTTCTTTTATGCATAGTTTCGTTCCAGTGGCTTTCGATGGTAAGTAGTGTTTGTTAATCTTCGTTGCCTGGTCGAGCCACCTCGGTAAAGTGCTAAACTGTTCTACACCTGAAATCAGAATTTACGTAGTCGCGATACCTTGAAGAGAGTATCGAATACACACCTATGAATTGGGCCCTGTATTTCTTCAACCTTTCGTCGATAACTTGGTGCCAACGTTTCGGGTGTTCGCCATGTCGGATAAGAGGAGCGTACAGTTCGGATTTCTTATCAGCGTGCTCGTCGATGATGTTGACTTCATGATACTTCGATACCATGCCCCTTCTGTGAGCATTTAGCTTCCTCAGTTCTTAAAAAAATATATAAACATAGTAATGACTTTTGTTAGTTACTTTGAGTTTTACTTCCTGATAATAACCTCGTGCAGTTTTTTTCCTTATTTTGGCAATTTGCTCTTCCTTCTCAGCTTGCTTAATAGCGATGAAATTATGCAACTTCATGTCAGCCCTCTGGTTTGACTTCTGGAGAATTTCCTCCAACATATTTTCGAGTAGCTCCATCCGCAAGTTTTGGACATCTTGAATTTCCTTATCAAAAAATAATTAATCTCTTAGAGATCTTCTATTATTTACAATATTTACCCTTTCTCTAAAGGCCCACTCGTCCCTTTCTAGGGCCTCCATATAGTCCCTATAATGAGCTAGACTGTTCTCATCATCAGGGTTTGGTTTCATAGTTTTTTCCCACGATGCTTTCATCCTGGCTCTTTCAATCAGTTGCACCTCGTGCATAGCAGCAGGTAAACCGCTTCCTTTAAAGAAAAAGGTAAAATTATTTGAATTTTCAAATTTAAACGTGCTAAATCCTGCTACGACGTCATCTGGCGCAATGTGGAAGCCCGACTAAGATTATGTATGTACATAAAAAGCATAGTAAATCACAAATTTTTCTTTTGGTACCCACCAAATTTTAGAAAATCGAGTTTCAGTATCTCTGGGTCGCCCTGTCCGATCACCACGCACGGGGGTTCCCAGGGTATTGTCTGCGCCTCAGACTCCCTGAACTTGGTCTCCACCTTGACGTTAGTAGTACCGCGCGGCATCTTGCTCTTCAGTTTCTCGTACTTCTCAATGGTGAAGGTGGGGAAGCGCATGTAGGGAAGGGCGTCCTTAGGCGGAAAGTTGATGATGGGGCAGAAGAACTTCGCCCTGTCCGCTCCCGCGACGTCCACGGTTCTCACCAGAGCTGGATCCCGTGGAGGACGCGAGGATTTTTCCGTATACGGCGGGATGGGACGGGACTTCCTGGGCACCAGTTGGACCCTTGGGTGGTTGGGTAAGTCGGAGAACATGTTGGGGAAGATCGGACAGATTTGCTGAAATAATAATAATTTAAAAGTAAAGGCGCCTTTCCACTACGCGAAGTTCGGCGAGCATACTTGATCATAAATCAAAGTTGGCAAGTAGAGCTTGAAGGTCACTCTAGTGCTAAAGCAGAACACCGACTAGTATACCAGCTGAACTTTGTCATGGGGAGAAAAATTAGGAATTTAAACGCCCTACTTACGAATTTGGCCGTAGACATTTTTGCGATTACTGCTGCCTTGTAATGGTCCACTGGTCCAGATACAGTGAAAATAGGATCTAAAATTTGATAATTCAGAAATATAGGGTGTCAAATTTTATATTAAATTAATACAGTAACTGTTCCAATCGCCACCACTGGTTGGCTTAGGGACTTGATATTATACCAATTTGCCAATGATATAACCAGTACACACATACTTCTATCCCCGTACGATACAGTTAGGCAACCAGTCAAACTTATATTTTAATGTACTATATATAGATGGCGACTCTCCTATAAAATATAAAATCCTTGTCCCCTTGTCATTTTTTATTCTATGAACCATGAGTGTCAGAGATTTTATTGTAGTCACCATCTTGTGCTTTATAAACAAATTAATATGTAAAAGCGTTTATTTTACGTAAGCGATATTCTACAATTTTTTTTCCAATTCATGCTTCAGTACAATAACTTTAAGGCTCTGACATATGCGTCACTTTAGTACATAATTACATATATTCTGATAAAAAAAGGATATAAAAGTGATGCCAATTTTAAGTGCTAAATGACATTGTACAATCTAGTATAAATGTTTTACAAACAATTGTGAACATTCAGTATAACGTCGGAGTCAGTCGGTTTGAACGTCATTTATTGGTAATTTTGACACGGAAGTATTTTGATTATAAAGAGAGAGAGAGAAATTATGATCGCTCATGTATTAATGAAATCGATTTATAATTGAAAATATACTTACCGTACACGTAATCGTGTGGTCGATATGGAAAACACCTCAAAGCCATGTTGAGAAGCGGACAGTTACTTTAATAGCCCAGTTAAAAAGTCAATATGACGGGATTTGATGTAAAAAGGCATAGAAACCAACATATTTGATCAATACCCTAGATAAATGATACTATAGATAGGAAACTTGAACAACGCTAACTGTTGACACTTTCTCCAACTTCTATTGCTTTCCTTTTCTAGGAATTATCGGTAATACAGTGAGTTAAATTACCTGTAGCCGGTAAAAGATGCAAGCGCCATCTAGTTGTACGCTCTACAACTATATACATACCTACTCAATATTTGTTTTAGGTATTCTGCCGCCGCTAAATTTAAAATTACATAACAAATCTCACCCTACACAGATCACTCAGAAATTGATTTTGCAAAATAATTTTCACGTAGATAATTTTTTTTTTGTCACCATGAGAAAATAAGTACATTTGATAAAAAGCATTAAAATCACTCAAGCATTAAAGACACTTTTAAATGCTCTAATAGTCTTCCTACTTAAAATAAGAAATAAATTTGATACTGTAACTTTTTAAAATGTTTGTTGAAAAAATTTCAAATTTCATTACATATTTTGAAAAAAAAATAGTGGAAATGATTATAGAGTTTCAGTGCTTTCTATATTGTATTAGCTTTCACGATGAATAAAAAAATATTACAAGTAAATAATTTTACTAAACCAATTTTTTATTAATTCTTGTAATAGAGATTTATTATGCAACTTTAAATTTTTCGTTGTGTTGATATCCATAAAAAAAACTACCTACCTCTGATCACATTTTTTATTAAAAACAAACAAAACAAAACATTTTATTATTAATAAAAAAATGTGATTATGATGATCAGACATTATTATGTTATATAAATAAATGTGAATGAAATATCTAATAAAACACACTAAAAACACAAATAAAACACACACCAACACTCGCCAAACCTAACCAACAATAAACATGAGCAATAAGAAAGAATGACATGAAATGATTCATAATTGCAATTGTCAAAATTTATTCTACAAAATCTTTGTGGCGACATCTATAGACTCTTTCCCCAACTTGTATATCCATCTCAAGTCACGTGGTTCCCAGTGTCCCCATATTTTCAAGTATAAGTTCTCGGGCCCTGATCAATACCTTGGTGAATAGTTCTAAAGGTCATAGAGATGAAGTATAGAGGATTATTTATGTTTTTATACGACTGACTTGCAAAAGGGGGTTTTGGGCACGGAAAACACGCTCTGAAAACGGTAGTTTGCACACGGTTATGTCATATTTGCACACGCATCTCCATATTGTGATTTTTGTTTGATGTCACCCAAATTGTCACGAAAAAAAATTTGATTTTTGTGGTCTCTGCAGTCGTATAAAAAGTATCGTTTGAAAACCTCTTTGCACACTCGCTCGAGTTGTGGACCTCGCCTTCGGCTCGGTCCACCAATATGTCTCGCTCGTGTGCAGAGTCGTTTTCAAACCTTGTTGTTTAATATACTATTAAATTGTAATATACAGGGTGTCCCAGCATATGTGGCAATTTCTTGGATTTATGCAGGGGACGTTAAAATAACATAAGTTCCTATAAAAATTTTGCAGTAGAGCCCTCTAGAGAACTTGTCTTTATTTTAACGTCCCCTGTATAAATAGACTGCCCATATATTCTGGGACACCCTGTATAGGGTGGGGACATTCAGATGTTTCTTACTGAAAAAAATATGAAGTATACAGGATGTTTCATAATAGAAGGGTGAATTTGGGCATGATTTTAAGTAAAAAAGTTCATAAGTACAGGTTGTTAAACTTCGATAATTTTTCTTTGTATTTAGTTTTTGAGAATGTAGGCTAACTTAGATTACCTGCACCATTAGTCCCGCCTAATAGTTGTCACGATCTACTACAAGGTGACACTTTTTCTGGGGTTGGGCCTCTTTTCAGTCCTCCAAATTCTCTTCTGGTGATATGGTCTTTTTTAGAACAAGGCTCTAATTCCCCATTTAATTTAGAAACTTTTTTGTCTTTTGCAATATGATTCCCTGAACTCGCTAAATTAAAAGCTGGATTTTAAAATCCTCTTAGTAGGTTCCGACAGATAATTTTGTTCTATTAATTTTGATAATCGGTTTTCAAAAATTGCTTCTGCCTACTTAGATAACTATTGTTCAAGTTAAATCTGTGCAAACAGTACTATAAATAAAAAAAAATTAATGGTTATTTTTATTCGACTTGTATCTTTTTTTGATTTCAGTCCTCTTTTGAGCATATTTATATTATTCTCAACGACGGGTTAATCGCTTCCTAGACAGGCAGAGAGATCAGAGTAGTCATATAATAAAACAAAATTTAGAAAAAAAAACACCTTTATTATAATTTATATTCACAACATACGATACAAGTGAAAATAAATATATTCATCACAGCGTGTGAAGTATTACAGGAACAAAAAACAAATTTATTTTCCCTTAACGACAGAAAAATATCAAGTCAAAGAGAAATAATTTATTTCCTCAAACATTCGTTATTTGCCGCCAAACGGCAAATAAAAAAAATTTAACTAGATACGAGATACATACAAAATTATTAAATAAATTCTAACTATTAAGAACTGTGTGCATTTGGAATGCACTTAAAGAAAAATACTGCAAATCTGTGGTTCCGGCTACTTCTCGAATCCCTAATATACTGCAACAAAAAAAAATACATGCAAAATTGATACGAGTTGATTTTGGTCTGCTGTACCTTTCTTAAATCCGTTCGGCTTGAATCCGCCTACATTGTTGAACTTCGGGAATTGTTTCGGTCCGCTATTCTCCCTACCCCTGTAACCGCCGTTGTTGTTGTAACCCCAACGATTCTTGCCGCCGAATCCCCCAAATTTTTGAGCGATCTCGGACAACTTCGGGTTGACGATCTGGAAAAGAACAGCGTCAAAGGTCTTCCATAATCGCGAAGAATTCACTGGTGGCTTACCTGTTTGGCCTCAGTTAGTACGTTAACTAGATCCCTGGCCTGCTTGAAGTTGGAGGGGGTGAAGAAGGCGTACGACGTGCCGGTGTTCTCGGAACGAGCCGTCCTGCCTATTCTGTGAATGTAGTCTTCGGAGGAATGTGGGTAATCGTAATTGACTACATATTTTATACCTTCCACATCTAAGCAGCAAAGAACAGTGTTATCCGGCGCCCCCAAACCCAGATAAAAAATCCCAAGCTGTTTATTTTATAAAACAATCCATATTCCAGAAGAAAAGTGATAAACAACGTGAGATGTTTTAACTTATAATAATGCACCAAAGGAGACTTGTTTAAATCGTATAAAAATTGAATCTCCAAATTTTAGTAGTTTAAATGTACTACATCGCTGTAAATCCCACTTCTGATTATCCTCTTCCTCTGCTACATTTTTTTTAGACAATACTAAATCTCCTTTGATGAAAATGTCTTGTCGATTTTATCTTTAACGGACTTCACTATATATTTTTTCACCTAGTGTAGTCCTGCATTTTATAAAAAAAAGACGACACGAAGAAAGCGATCTTATAAATAAAAAAAGGAAAAATGAAAGCGAATACTAACCAGTTTGAATCGAAAATCCATGAAGTTGTGATGTGTTTACAAAATCGAATTATATTTACATAGTATAGTAGCAAATGACCTGGTTGCTTCAGTGGACCTTGCAACGGACATAATTCGTACGTTGACGACTTACGTGACTTTGCGTAGGTTCGGGTCTACTCAAACAGCTCAGATGAACCGACCGATAGGAAGACAAATACTCAAATTTGAATGACAACTGTTTTGGGTATCTGTTAAGTGAAAACTGTCCCACGTCGACGACCAAATCTAACTTTAGTTTTAGCTGTCTGGGCCGGGATGAAGGACGACATATACAGGATACGGTTTCGGGGAAGTAGGGGAGAGGGAAAAAAAGAAAGTGAATTGGATTTACAAACATGTGCCATATTTGATGCTTTTTTAAAGCATCAAACCTTCCGTAGGTCTTCTATCGCATAAACTGAACCAATCTGGAGGGGATCGGACAGTTAGAGGGTGCAACTATGGCGATCATTAGCACAATAATCACTAGAATGCTATGAACGCTCATCCTGCACATGCCTCTGAAACAGAAAAGGGTCACCCAGACTGATTAAAATAATGTTGGCAATTCAATCGGGTGACATTACACCCTTGAACCTAATAAATCAATAAATTAATAAAATAGACAGTGCTGGGGGGCATAATACCACCCTACAATATCATATTTTGAATATTTTTTTTTTTATTAAACTACATATTTTTTTTTTGATATAAAATTGTTATTAGCAAACGTTTAACAGTCTGGAAAATCCTAAAATATGCTACTATGCCATTTTTTTTTCTTAATTTCCGACATTAACTCGCCCACAAAGTGGGTGGATAAATCACAAGTGAACATGGTTTGATTCTGAAGTAAACCGATAAGAAATTCCTTTACCTTCCTTTCACGGGGGCCACTTACCTAATCCTCTAGCCGCCACGTCCGTGGCGACCAAGATAGAGGATTTTCCGCTCCTGAACTCCCTAAGGACGTAATCGCGCTCCTGTTGGCTTTTATCGCCGTGCATGCACACCGCCGGCCACCCCACCTGCCTTATGTTCTTGGTTATACCCTCCACCTTCTTCTTTGTCTCCACAAAGATGATGATCTTCGAACCAGGCTCTGAGCTGTTTCCAATTTCTTGGAGAAGGTTCGCCAATCTGTCATAAAATTTTTGCCTTGATTTTATACTCAATGTTTTTTCGATTTTATACACACTGTTAAATTTTTAGAAAAATTCTAAACATTAACTTAAAAAAATTTGATAATTTACTCATGGCCAATAAAACTGAAGGCCCTGTATATAATTAAAACCAAAGAAATAGTAAGATTTGTAACTGTTTCAGAAGCAGAAAAGTTTTATTATTTATTTTACGAATAAAAAATTGTTTCTTCCAGAGACAATAATTGTTCACGTTGCGTACAAACAAAAAAAAAAACGTCTACTTACTTCACTTCTTTCTCGTGTTCCTGGCACACGTCAACGATCTGGAGGATATTGTGATTGGCAGAGAGATTCAAAGACCCAACGTTGATATGAACGGGATCTTTCAGGAAATCAGTGGCCAGCTTCTTCACTTCCTTGGGCCAAGTTGCGGACCACATCAACGTCTGCCTGTCTGGCCTGATCTGTCCCAAAATCTTACGGATTTGGGGCTCGAAGCCCATGTCCAACATGCGATCGGCTTCGTCCAATACCAAGTAAGTGCAACGCTCCAAGTTAGTGGTTCCCTTCTCAAGAAAATCTATGAGTCGTCCGGGTGTAGCGATGCATATCTCGACACCCCTCTGCAAGTCCCTAGCTTGGGGTCCTTTGGGGGCGCCGCCGAATATGCAAGTGTTACGAATACGGGTGGAACTGCCAAAGTCCATGGCAACTTTTTGGATCTGCTGCGCCAATTCCCTGGTAGGGGCCAGGACTAGGGCTATGGGGCCCTCGCCTCGGCTGATCTGGGGCTGGTTATTGATGTGTACAGTAGCCGGTAAGGTGTATGCTAATGTTTTCCCGGACCCGGTCTGCGCGATCCCAATCATGTCATGACCGCTCATTGCGATGGGCCAGCTCTGTGCTTGAATTGCGGTAGGAGACTCGTACCCCTGTCTCACGATTTCACTCATAACGTAGTCCGGGAAGTTCGCCTCGTTGAAGTTCTGTATCGGGTTAGGAGCGTCTCCCTCCACTATGATCTGTTTGGACTGCCTGTACTGGTTTACTTCGTACTCGGACCGACCACACACGTCCGGATGGGGAGCATAAAAATTTTTGGAGAAGGGATGCAGGGTTTTGGTACCCCACTCAACCTTGCTGAGTCCTTGGCCGTTCTCTTCTTGATTGAAATTCGTTCTAGGCTTGTATCCGCCCCCATTACCGCCTCTGTAACTACTTCCATTTCCGTTCATATAGCTGCCCCCATTGTTATTGTAACCACTTTTATATCCGCTATTGTTATAATTGCCTTTGAAACCATTTTGTGCTTGACTGTCAAAATTATTCATTTTGTTGTATCCACTACTGTGCGAATTCCAGTCATTTGATTTGCTGTAAGACCTGCAAAAGGTGAATGAACCTTTGCCATCATTTCGATATTCAAATCATTGAATACTGATGTTTTCACATATTTTTGACGATTAAAAAAAAAATTATTTAATTTAATTAATGCTGAGGAAAATATTTGATAAATTGTGCAATCTTATTTTATTACAAGCAAATGAAAATGTTAACATAAATATGTATTAATCATTTATGTAATCTTAAAAAAATTATTTATATGTAATATGGAGGCAATCTTTGGAGGCAATAGAAACTTTCATATTATAAAATATTTAGTATTTTATTTACATTTACGTTCAGTTTGATTATATTCGATATAATGGAAATAAAACGGAAATTCACGCAACTTTAGCAATCAGCATAACAGTAGTGCTGCGTTATATAAAAAAAACTTATCTACTTACATTCTTTGTATCTGTTGAATGCTTCTAGAAAACAAGATGTCGAGCTGGAAAATTTCCTTGGTACTTTTAGTTGACGTGGAAGATTTAATTCTATGAATTAAAGACAACATCTTGTCAAAATGAAAACGAGAAAACAAATATATTTTTTTATATGTTCTATTTTCAATTTTCTGAGAAATTTGGATGTATGTAACTCAACACAGAAACAAATATTAAGTACTTACATTTTCCAAATCGAGAACGGGGAACAGACAAGACAAATCAATTTTCATCCGGCCGGACTGGAATATCACATACTGCGCATACTCGAAATAGAAATTTAGAAACGCAGTAGAATATTGCGCAGCTGTGATTATCACGTGATTATCTTTTCACATTTGATTGGTGCATTTACAGATTTATTGATGGAATAGGATAGCATGGATTATAGCATGGGCGCTGTTTGGGGGACACAAGGTCAAGATATATTTTATTCCAAGGTCCAAGGAAAATCGTACATTTCAAGTTATAAATTGATTTCACATGATTTTATGAAAAATAGACATATTATTTATAAAAGATTAATTTTGTATACAATAGCGATATATAGGTAACCAAACCATAATTAAAAAAATCGAGGTTAAAATATGGCAAGAACTGGACGGTTTGATGCTGACAGTAGAAAGGACAATGACTAGTAGATTAGTAGATAGGCACAGAAACAGATCATCAGATCAACATAAAATCACCGCTAACAAAGGGGGAATAAATTTAAGTCAAAGTAAGGGCTGACAGCCATTAACTATTTTAATACGCACAAATAAAAAATTCTTATTAATTTCTTGATCGGCGTTTCTCTAAACCAATGACTCCGAAAGCTGCTGAAAAAGATTAAAGTACCGACAGTGACAACAGAGTAAATTTGGTTAGTTTATGCTGTAGTTTTAGTTTGCTGAAAATGTGTCGTGCTACGTGCTTGTCAAGTTTATTTTTTTAATATATACTATTATAAGATTTTTTTTTGCAGCGTTCTACCGAATGCGACTTTGATCCAAGAATCGTATTCTTGACTTTGATCTTTGTTTTTAGAGGACTTCTAAAAACAATGCTTTGATCTTGATCATCTACTCCCATGATCTGGAGGCGGCAATCCTCTCCCTTGAGACTGACATTAAAAACGCCCTGACTCAGACTACGACGGAGACTATTGTCCCCCGACTAACAAACCCCCGGGGCACCCTCCCCGATGACATAAAAAACTTAATACGTGACAGACGACGTGCGAAACGGCTTGCCCCCCGCCCCCGCCTCCCCCGACACAGACATGACTTAAACGTACTTAACAGACGGGTGAAGGCGGCTCTGGATGAACTGGCCCAGGATAACTGGGCTAGGCACCTGGAGTCGCTGGATCCACAAGACAACAGCCTCTGGAAAACGCAGAGGGCCCTGCGACAGACCGCTCGCCGTAAAATTCCTCCAATCCACGGTAGTGTGGGGGTGGTTTACACGAACCAGGAAAAGGCCGAGGCTTTCGCCGATAGCCTGGAACTGCAGTGTAGACTGCCTCAGCTGCCCGACGAAGACGAGGAATTCGAGATAGTGGCTGAGCGCGCGGCCCGACGCGTCGACAGAGAGCCAGACAATGACATAATCCCCCCCGCAACACCTGACGAACTAAGACTGACAATACGCAGACTTAAAAACAGAAAAGCCCCCGGACCCGACAATATACATAACACGACACTTAAACGACTACCACACAAGGGCCTCATGGCCCTACTAAACATAACAAACGCGACACTCAGACTAAGACACTTCCCTACCCGCTGGAAAACAGCAAACATAATCCTTATCCCAAAACCCAACAAAGATCACACCATCCCATCCAACTACCGGCCCATTAGCCTGCTCCCGGCTATGAGCAAAGTAGTAGAAAAAATTATCCTAACCCGTCTAAGAACCCACTCCCAAGAACTGCAAGTCATTCCAGACGAGCAGTTCGCCTTCCGACCCAATCACTCCACTGAACTCCAAATCCTTCGCCTTACCGAGCACATCACGGCGGCCTTCAACAGGGGACAGTACACTGGTGCTGTCTTCCTGGACGTCGCAAAGGCCTTCGATACGGTTTGGCATGAAGGCCTACTGATGAAAATGCTCACCAACCAATATCCCATATCCTTTACCAAACTCATAAAATCCTACCTACACCACCGTAAATTCCGCATCCAAATCCAAGATTCCCTTTCCACCACCCGTCCCATGGAGGCCGGTGTCCCCCAGGGCACCGTCCTGTCCCCACACTTATACACCATTTACAACTCCGACATCCCATATCCCCCCAACACCAACATATACTTATACGCCGACGACCTGACAATCACATCCCAATCCGTAGATCCTAGATATTCCGTCTCCCTCCTCCAAAACTCCTTAGACCAACTTGAAACCTGGTGCAACAGGTGGAAAGTCAAAATTAATCCCAACAAAAGTTCGGCTATCCTTTTTACCAAACGAAAAATCCCACAAAACCTCGACAGACTGACACTATCCCAGGAACCTATCTCCTGGAATCGACAAACACGATACCTGGGCGTGACGATGGACCAGCGTCTCACGTGGAAACCGCACATCGTGGAGACGGTGGCGCGAGCGAAGACCACCAGGGCTAGGCTCTATCCCTTACTCAAAGGTGGAAACACCCTCAGTTTAAGGAATAAGCGAACGCTTATCAAGGTGGTACTTCAACCGCAGCTAACCTACGCCTCCACGGCGTGGGGTCACGCGGCAAAAAGCCACTTAAAGTCATTACAGGCTGTGGAAAACATAGCCCTCCGCACGGCCACCGACGCGCCCTGGTACGTAAGAAACACTGACATATTACGAGACTTACAATACACAAACGCTACACAGACAATAAGACAAAACGCGGAGAAACGATTTGACGTAGCCGCTAGACATGACAATCCCCTCCTCAGGCAAGCCGTTGACTACGTACCCGACGTGACCGACAAACACAAAAGACCTAGACACCAACTTTTTGACCCTGGGTGACCACCCCAATGACCCCCCCCTGCCCGCTAACCTTTTCTGTTTCAGAGACAGCCAGGATCAAGAAACGAAGACAACGACACACACACACACATACACACCCGCCATACCCTCCTTAACCCTCCCCTCCCGCGCTAGCCTAAGGGCCACCTTAGCAAAGCGCATCCCAGGCTGCATAGCCGCACTACCCTACCCAACAAACAACCAGACATAAACATGACACTACCCCCGGGGTTTACACAGACGAGCCGGCGAAGCAAGAAGAGCGCCAGAAGAAAGGGCCCTAGCCGGCGGGGCCCAGCCAGGACAAAAGGAGGTCCCACAAAGCGCCTACACCGGCCGCATTTGCGGTCGGGGTAGACGACGGATGGGGCCCACCTACGAAGGCTGTCCAGGCCTACACGAGATGAGGCAGGATAAAGAGGGATAATCCCCCTCGATCCCAAATCATTGAGGCCAATTTCTAGCCATAGAATAATGGCGCGCGATCATCTACTGGTAGGGATTCTGTTTGGTATGTTCTGTGACCTGTTGTGACTTGTGTAGTCTGTAGTCAATGATCATTGGTCATGCTGATTTGACATTTAATTTGTATTTATTTTTTATTTACTTATTACTTACTATTCTGTAGGTTTATCTTTGGATTGATAGACTGTTTTAAAATGAAAAACGAACTTTATTTTTTGCGTGAGACATTTTTAACCTGTTTTTATTGCTCGTGACAAGGAACAAAAGAAAAAGATACTGTTGGACTTAATTTTAGTTGATTTCCAGTTCCAGTACATCTTGGATGCTTGTTTTGACTAAATATTTTTTATTGACATGGCTGAAATTGATTATCAGTTAGCTTTATTACTGCAACATCAGTTTGAACAAGAAGCGAAGAAACCCAAGGAGCACAAATCCGATACAGAATTCGCCAGAGTGCTTCAAGAACAGTTTCAACTGGAAAATGAATTGGACGTACCAAAGAATGGACTAGTATATAAATCTACAAAAAGTACCCACAACTCTTCAAGCTGCTTGGTTGACCCGTCGTGGGAAGTTATTGATCCTACCCCAGATATTCATGTGCTTTTCTTGTCATTCAACGATCGATTCTTCTGGGGTGCTCTAGTAACAGTTTGTGTATCTTGGAGTAAAAGAATGACTTCATGTGCAGGCATATGCTCTTATCAGGGAAGAGGCGGTCTTTGCAGTATCACCTTAAGTGAACCTCTCTTAAAACTGCGCCCTCGGAAAGATTTGGTGGAAACATTACTGCATGAAATGATACATGCCTACTTATTTGTTACAAACAACAACAGAGATAGAGACGGACATGGCCCAGAGTTCCACAAACACATGTTTCGTATCAATAAAGAAGCAGGTAATGATATCTGTAAATAATTGGATTATATTTGATTAATTCGCTTATTATAGGTACTAACATAACGGTCTATCACGATTTTCATGACGAAGTACGTTTATATAAACAACACTGGTGGCGATGTGACGGCCCCTGTCAAAAGTGGAAGCCCTATTTCGGCATGGTTCGAAGAGCAACAAATAGAGCACCGGGCCCCAGTGACAGATGGTGGGGTGAACATTCTAGAAATTGCGGTGGAAAGTTTGTAAAAGTAAGTGCTCTTTAATTAGTCAATACAGGGTATTCTTTGTTTAAAATTATGTTTTTATTTAGTATCAACAAAAGTTTTTAGACGTCATTTAGCACTTATCAAGGTTTTTATCATTAAATATTGAGGGTCCTCTATTTATTGACATTACCCACTGTTTTACGGGAAGTTAAGTACCTATTTTTGTATATGTAGATCTTAAAACGTTTACTGTTTTGGAGAAAACTAGTCGTTATTTTCTTATAACCAACCGTTTAGAACAGTGAAAACACTGTCAAAAAACCTACGATATATTTTATTTAGTATTATCATCTTTTCTCCAATTTTTAGGTCCAAGAACCGGAAAATTATATGAAGAAGTCATCTGCAAAGGAAAACGTCAAGCCAAAAGAAGATATTCGTAAATACATTTCTCCAATAAAGACAGTCGCTACAGATAAAGGCACCTCAAAACCGATAACCTCGACAATTACCTCGGTATCTTCTACGGTCACCACTAATAACAACAACGTCCATACAATCAACAATAGCGACAGTAGCAAAAAAATAAGGACCGTCATTCCGAAGGCGAACAATATATTTGGATTTACGAATTTAAGTGGAAATGCAAGTAGTTCAAAAGGGAAAGGCATGGGTACAGCACTTAAAAATAGTAGTAGTACTATAGTCATCAATAAGAAACCAAGTACGGCATCTAAAACGAATAGCATTGCTGCTTCTCCAGGACAAATTTTGAGCGACTCGTCCACAAATAACGGAAGCATCGACTACTCGGTAGTTAGAAATCATTGGTTGAATAAATTCCCAAGTGGTAACGGTGTTAAACGGACGGCATCTGTTGGATCTCAAGACGCAAACAAAATTCCCAGGCTGAACGAGGAGTCGAATTCGAGTGACACAATTCCGAAAGATGAAGCGAAGGCTGATTGTCCAGTATGCCTCGAATCGGTGCTATTGGCTCGATTTAATGAGCATCTAGATAACTGCCTACAGCAACCCAAGACGAGAAAGTGTATAATATGCGAATGCGACGTGTTTGCCGCTGAATTCGAGATGCATGTAAGGAAATGTTCGGAAGAAAGCTTCGACAATACCCGAAGGGGACTAAAAAAGTGTACAATTTGTGAAAAAATGTTCCCAGTCGCAGAATACGACACACACGTAGAGAAGTGTCTGCTCAAATTCTACGACAATATGGAAGACGCTTACTGCGACAAGGGAGACCGTGTCGACTGTTTGACTTGCGGAAAAGATATCCTCAGGGGCGAGCTGGACGCTCACTTGGACGATTGCATGGGTCTGAGTAGAGTTTTTGAAGACGGTAACGCGCCTGTGGAAGGGGAGAGTGTAGATTCCTGTGATAATAACAAATTCAATTGCCCGTTTTGTATGGTGTTGGTCTCGGAGGGAGAGATGAGTGCGCATCTAGATTCATGTTTGAATACACCAAGTACCGCTCCGGAAGGAGAACTCAATAAAAGCGTTTTAATTAGATCTTTGCTAGACGAGGATTTTTAGATTTATTAATTTTTGTGTTTGAAAATCTTAAATTAATAAACTTGAATTTATCAAAGCCAATACTTTTTCGTTGATATTCTCTCCTAGATAATAAAATAAATACTGAAACAGAGATAAGTTCTTAATATTGTAAATTATTGTTTCCAATAACGGTGTATAGCACCCTTGATACCTTGATTACTGTAAATCAAAGCTGGTTGTAGAATACAAGTCCATAACTATTTTATGAAAATTCCAAATAAAACTTGAATGGTATAAACCTGTTATTTCTTTATATACCTATTTATATATTTGGAAGTTGATAGTCTATGTAAATCTTCATAAAATAGTTATTGCCCTTCCAATGACTTGTATTTGTAGAATTGAAACTAAAATATTCCTGTTTTCTATAACTAGCTTGGATTTATGGTAATTAAGGTGTCAAGGGTGTTATAAGGATAATAAATCCTACAGCACTTGTGGTGCTTTCAATGTTTTATATACAAATGTTGGAGAATTTTTCATATACGTGGTATGTGAGGATCTATACTGGCATTAATAAAGGTTAAGTGTAATTTCTATTTTTAAATCAACATTATATTTAATGTTGGAGTTTGTTATTTTGCAAGAATCATACTATTTCAATATACATTATTTTAGAAATCGTTCCTTAAACTAATATCTATAAGTCTGCCTTGGGCACACACGTATTTCTAAATTATGTGCCCTGAGCGAATATGATTGGCCGCCCCAGTACCTGATAGTAAATATACAAAAAAAAAATTGCTGAAAAAAGCCAGAGGGACGGCCCTTCGGCCGTCACTCTGGAACAGGCCGCACAAACCAATCACCCCCTACGCGCTTGGAAAAGTATCAGTCTCCAGCTTCTGTGGGATTCGAGATTTTCGATTTTTTTTCTAGACGGAAGCAGTTAAAAAAACGGACCATCACGGCCTGTTTGGCGATCCCACAACCGACTTTAGAAAAGCACTTTAATTTTTTGAGAGCATCGATTTTCTCAAAACTTTTTAGGACTCGGAAAAATCTGAAAATCGGCGCTAAATAATCTAAAACTGCATTCAGTTCCTCTCTAGCTCCCTCGGGTTTCGAGATTACGTTTTTATTTCCATTCGTTCCCATGTAAATTTTTGTAGGGCAGGAAACATACAATACAATGCATGTGTATACTTGGCTGCATAAGAATTCCTAAATTTTGATATATAAATTATGAGTAAATGCATAAAAAATGAACACAATTATAAATTAACCTTCCTTTTATAGAACAGTAATATAATTGTTGTATTTTCTAATGTAACTTAACAGTTCACAATAAAAAGACATGAAAAAAAAAAAACATCTCACCTACGCAGAAAAAAGTCGGTTACAATAGTAGCCGAGAATGAAGCGGGAGCGGAGGTTGTACAGAGAGAGAGGTATAGGAGGGTATATGCTATAGCAGATGCATATGAAACCACGTCTAGAAAGGTACTTTATTATTTTGAAAATTTTTAGGCTGTTAGACATCATTCATTCCATTCAAAAATTAATAGTTCAGTGAAGTGGAACGGTTACTTGTGTCAATTGACAAATCCAGCTGTATTACATAGTTCCAAATGATCGTACCGCCATCTATCTCTCAGAAACTGCACTAAACTTAGGAAGTATTCTTTCGTAGGTAGCTAACTGTAACAGTCTAATATTCACTGATGAATTAGTAGAACTTGTAACTTATAGATGGCTACGCATGTAATATATTACATTATACCAAAATATATTGTTTTTCACTCTGTATCTGTAGATTACGATTAGAAATATAAATATACGAATACGAAAGATAAATATCAACAGCCAAATTTTTGTTCTGAGAACCATAGTAAAGCCACGGTAAAGCTTAGCTTTAATGAGTGCCTTTCGATTTGGCAAAATTAGTAGGTAGAGTAAAGGTAATTAGACTTACTCTGAACTGAACTGATATTAGTGGCTAATAGGAAAAGCACTCCTTGTATGTTTTTGAAGTTTGAGGTTATAAACTAGTGATGGGAATAATCGACCAATTTTGTTAATCGAGTTATCGGTAATCGAGTACTTCTAATAATCGAGTGATCACTCGAGATACGAGATATTGGTCGTTTTCATCCCAGCGGCGCACAAATATGTTTGTATTAGTCATATATTACTTTTAAGTGTAGCTAAAAAAAAAAAAAAGCTCACGCACTTCAAAACCTAACCACTTTTTCGTTTTATAAAAAAAAGGTTACGCAATCAGTGACTATTTGCAGTATGCACTAACATTTTGGGGTGCAACCGTAGGGTAATAATCACTCGAGTGGTGGGAGTAAACATCTCGAGATATCTCGAGTGATCTCAATAATCGAGTACCACTCGATTTTTCACTCGAAATCTCCCATCACTATTATAAACTAAAACTACCACTTGTACTAGAATTTGTACATATTCAGATTTAATGTTTTTTTTTGTTTTAAAAAATTATTTATGAGCTATGAGCATAAAAATGAGTGAAAACTCCGAAATTCTTTGCACGGATGGCGCTTCGTTAGGTGAATAAGAAGAAAGTATAATAATGAATGAAATAATGAAATTTTTTATTTGTTTACAGTTAATGTAAACGAAAGGAATAACCAGAAATCTGTAGATGAAGCAATAGGAGAAAGTAAACAAAAAGACAATTTAAAAAACGAGAATGGAAACGAGTGCGGTAAACCATCAAAGGTAGAAGACGAACGTTCTTCAAATAAACAAAACGAGACTCCAACCAATGATTCTAATTCTTATAATCCAAAAGACGTTCATTACGAAGGAGATGTTGCTATATATACTGAGCCGGGTACAAATACTCAGTACCAATGGGATAATGAAAGGAAAGAGTGGACTCCAAGAAATAACATCGTTTATGGTTTTGAGGATGATACCCATGTTTACACAGACAGTGATGGAATGAAGTATTTTTGGGATAAGGAAAAAACTGCTTGGTTTCCTAAAGTCGATGAAGACTTCATGGCTAGATATCAAATGAGTTATGGTTTTGTAGATAATACCAAAATAGAAGTTAAGAAGCCGCCAGACGACAAAGTGCAACCACAAGATCCAAAAAAAGTTAAAGGCGAGAAGAGAAAAGCCTCTGAACCTACATGGTTCGAAATAGACGAGAATCAAAATACAAACGTGTATGTGTCTCATTTACCTATAGATATCGAAGAACAGGAATTCGTGGACCTGATGCAGAAATGTGGCCTGGTAATGAGAGACCCCCAGTCCGGAAATTTCAAGGTAAAACTGTACAAAGAGCCGGGCACGGATATTATCAAAGGTGATGCTCTCTGCACTTACATCAAAATCGAGTCGGTCGATCTAGCTCTCAAACTGCTTGACGGTTACGATTACAGGGGTCACAAAATCAAAGTGGAAAAGGCAAAGTTTCAACTAAAAGGCACGTACGATCCTAAACTAAAACCTAAAATGAAAAAGAAGAAAGATAAACTGAAAATGAAGAAAGCGCAAGAAAAACTATTCGATTGGAGACCCGAGAAGAAAATCGGTGAAAGGGCAAAACACGAGAGAGTAGTTATAGTGAAGAACTTGTTCGACCCCTCTATTTTCGATACGGACGTGAGTCTTATCTTGGAATTCCAACAGGACTTACGGGAGGAATGTTCCAAACTGGGAGAGGTGCGGAAAGTGCTTCTCTACGACAGGCATCCAGAAGGAATAGCTCAGATTAATATGGGTTGTCCCGAAGAGGCAGACCAGGTGGTAGAACTATTAAACGGTAGATGGTTTATGAAGAGACAGTTATCGGCAGAGATTTGGGATGGCAGGACTAAATACAAGGTAGCAGAAACAGATTCTCAAATTACGCAAAGGATAGATAAATGGGACAAGTTCCTCGAGGGCGGAGAAGAACAGAAAAATGATAAGGTGATACAAAATGATGACGATGAGGGAAGCACACTCGAAGCGAACACAAGAAATGGAGAAAATGTTAAGGAAGAGTGTTTATAAATTGACTTTAAAAATTAAAATGTAAACTAATATTCTCTACAAAATAATTGAACATTGTCTTGGGAATCCCCATAACTCTAGGTTTTAGATGTATTCATTAATATTGTTATTTGGTGAAATTCATTTGGGAATAAAACCATTAAAAATAGTATGTACATAGTGTTGTATAAAATAAAATAATTTATCTACAGCAAATATGTTTTGTTCTGTTATAATTATCTATTATTATTAGTAAAACTCTTACTAAATTAATTGCAAAAACAAAACATACTTATGAAAGTTTACATTGACGTTAACAATATAAATTTACCAGCATCATTAAATATTTAAAACTTATAATCAGTACAATAAGAAATAACAAATATAAAAACCAATCATTTTTAAAGCAGCAGATTTAAATATAATGTATAAATAGATTTTGGTCATGGACTTAGGAAAATATAAGATGTATATTATTTAATCTGCTTTCAAGTAATATTCCCCCACCCAGTCGTGGAAAACGGCAGCCTTTGCGCAGATACATTGTTCCCTGTACCTCTTCCAAGCTCTGATTTTGTCACAAAATATCCCCCCTATTTTGTGGATTTTGTCTGGTCATATTCCTTTTTGACCTACATTTTGAAAATCCCGGGTGAACGGGTTTCATAGTCATCAAACTGATTTATTGTAAGCACTTTGAAAAATAAAATTTCTTAATCGAAAAATCAGATAAATATTTAAGAATCTTCATTTCTCATTCAACATATATTAATGTTGTATGAAATAGTTTCACTTTTGAACATTAAAAGCGGAAGTAATCTTTAAAGGCCCCTCCTTTGCACCAATCAGCTGAGTACGCAAACGTCGTGCAAATTACATGCGCAAAAGCTCCGACGAGCTGCGCACGAACGATCTACGCATTCAGAAAGTCGTTTGTTGGCCGGTCTGGTTGGAGTAAGGTGAGATTTTGCTGTTTAATGGATATATAATTTTATTTAATGGTTTCTTTCACAAAAATATCAGTACCCTTTATATGTACCTTGTCATAAGTTCAGAGAATACTTTAGAAATGTCAGATGTATCGTTAGATATAAAATATTTGGAATTCATTGAAAACCCTCTTTTCAGATAACTGATTTAGGAAGCCATTAGAAGCACTTGCTGACATTCTTTTGCTGCAAAGATGCAGTATAACAACGTTTTTCATAACAATTCAATGTAAGTAGCCACGTTTTAGACCGATATGATTTTCCTACAAAATTTGCCTACAAAATGCTCGCGTAACTTTGAAATTTAATGTCGCCCAAGTACCACCATTTTAGGGTAAATTTCGGCCATATTTGACGATTTTTTTTTTATAGTACACCCAAATGGGAAATTTATTGAATTGGATTAACTTGTAATTCCGTTAAATACAAAACTGTTTGTCTACTCCTTTGTCTGGTAAATGCGACATTTTTGACGAACAGAACAGCTTTTTGATAGATGTGAGTTGCATATTATGAAATCAATAAATAAATGTCATTAATCTACTCCCACTTCTGAAGTAGAAAAATGTTCTGTTCTTAATGGTGGAATTCATAGATCATTTCTAAATTGTTTTGTGTAATAGAAGTACCAAATTGCAGTAAAACATGTAAGAGTTGCTTTGTATGATATTAATTGATTGAGAAGTATGTCTGTCTTTTGTGAACAATATTACCAAATTGCAGTAAAACATGTAAGAGTTGCTTTGTATGATATTAATTGATTGAGAAGTATGTCTGTCTTTTGTGAACAATATTTGTAGATAGTGATGTAATATTAGGATCATTTCTAGGCTGGACATAGATATTATGATGAAAAAATTTAGAGTGAAATTTGTGAAATAAGAAATTAAATTATGTTGCGAGTTCTTCATATGAGCATAGAAATCTAAAAATTACTATGGGTTCCACGTTTCATTATCCAAATATGACTTAGTTATCGTCATCAACATTAAATATACCCGAATATTTATAACACTAAAAGAAGTATTTAAAAAATATATAAGGTACATAATTAAAAATCATTAGTTACTAGCAAAAAATATGAACTTGAGTCAAAAGAAGTTTTTTTTTCCTGTTTCATCCATATTGTATATATATGACATATACTGGGTGTCTGGAAAGGGACATACCCTTGAAACATTGAGCCTCCAAAAAATGTTTAATTTTTTTTAAGATAAATCGCTTTTAAAGATATTACAATTAAATTTGATATAGATATGTTTTGAGATAGCTGTATGTGAATATATACTTATTTTTATTTATCTAAAAGATAAAAGTTGCGAAGAATGCCTTAGTTTTTAATTTTCTACCACATTTCTTTTGTTGGTAGAGGTTTCTGGAAAACTTAAGAGATTTTTTGAAATGTCGCTTTATTTAATATACTTGTTGCGTTTAAAACATCAGTTGTAAAACCAAATTTTAGGCGGTTGCATTTTTTGTATTGCATATGCGTCGGTTCATCAGTTAAAATCAATTATATTTTTATTTGTGACTTTCCTTATCAGTTTATGATAAGCGAGGAACGGATTGTATGTATAAAAAGAGTAGCCATGTATATCCAATTCATGAATATACAGGGTGAAACTAAAATGCTTGGCAAACTTAAAACTATAATCTGTCACAAATTAACAAGAAACTTTCCTATACACATGTTTGGAAACTTGTTTGTTTTATAGGTTTTAGAGTTTGAAAAAATTTAGATTTTTTAGATTAGTTTAGTATTCGAACAATTAAAAACTTGTATACTTGTTTGCTTGTATGAAACATACTGATATACATATCGATTATTGATTCTAAAAAATGAGTTCAATATTTGCGGATATGTGTCACTTACGTTTATATTAATTCCCTTAAGGTTTAGGTCCAGACACGACCGAGTTGACCAACAACAACAGTACAACAAGCAATCGAATTATTGGTCCGGCCCTCCTCAGCACAGCATGGCCCCCGTACAAGACTTTGGCGGTCCAAAGCAGTACAAGAAGAAGCAACTACAACAGAAAGAAGAGAATAACATCCAGCTGTCGCTGCCGTCCTGGCAGGACGCTGACTTAAAGCCTTTCCGAAAGGATTTCTACGAACCCCATCCCAACACCAAGAATAGAAGCCAGCTGGATATCGACACTTACAGGAAGCATAATGACATCATAGTACGCGGCAACGACGTACCGTTCCCCAACTTCTGTTTCGAGGAAGGTAGCTTCCCCGAATACGTCATGCAGGTACTGTTGAAGCAGGGATTTAACGAGCCTACGGCCATCCAGTCTCAAGGCTGGCCTGTAGTGCTGTCTGGGAGAGATCTGGTGGGGATCGCCCAGACGGGTTCAGGGAAAACCCTAGCCTACATGCTGCCTGCGACCGTCCACATCAATCACCAGCAGAGGCCGCAGAGGGGCGAAGGACCGATCGCGCTCATTCTTGCTCCAACCAGAGAACTGGCCCAACAAATTCAGAAGGTCGCTCACGATTTCGGATCGACCACCATGATCCGCAACACGTGCATCTTCGGGGGTTCCCCGAAGGGCCCCCAGGCGAGGGATCTGGAACGCGGCGTTGAAATCGTGATAGCCACCCCCGGTAGGCTGATCGACTTCCTGGAGAAGGGCACCACGAACCTACAGAGGTGCACGTACTTGGTTCTGGACGAGGCGGACCGTATGCTCGATATGGGATTCGAGCCACAGATCAGGAAGATCATACAGCAGATCAGGCCCGACAGGCAAGTTCTCATGTGGTCCGCGACTTGGCCCAAGCAGGTGCAGGCGTTGGCGGAGGAGTTCCTCGTTGACTACGTTCAAGTAAGTACCGTTTTTGGGCCGTTTCGGCGAATATTAACAAATAACTAGAAAATTATGTACTAAAATTACCTTCTATTAACGGAAAATACAGTATATTTTATTTTAAGTAAAATATTCCTTTTTTAACATATTTTTTTGACATTTATGACAATTTCTACTCCTCGATGTTGCACAAATTAGAGCCCTGTTAGATTTTTTTATATTCAACTGGGTGTCGGACTTGTGCTATATAATGAGTGGCGTTTAGGCATCGCCAAAGATGTTCCTATAACTGCATCGATGATTTTGCCTAAATTCCCACATTTGTACTTTAACTTAGAAATAAAATTAAAATCTGATTAGATTCGTTTAAATAAACACTTAAGATTCTTTTTATATTAATTTCCTTGAAATGTTTGATTTCTGATAAATTTAAATAATTTGTGACTGGATCGTTTCTGTAGGTTATTCGTTGCAGTAAACCGACTAAAAATATCTCACTTGTCTAAAATTTGAGTGAAAAAAGTGTTTTCTTTATTAAGTAGCGCGAAATTAGCCTTTAAATAATTTAATATGGTTCTCCTGCGGTTAGGTCAATGTTGGTGGGCTGTCCCTATCTGCAAACCACAACATCAAACAAATCATCGAAGTTTGCGAGGAGGCTGACAAAGAGGAGAAGCTAACGAAACTACTGAAAGAGATCGGGTCCGACAGACAGAACAAAATCATAGTTTTCGTGGAGACGAAAAAGAAAGTCGACGACATCACGAAGGTCATAAAGCGAGACGGTTTCGCCGCCATCTGCATACACGGCGATAAGTCGCAACCCGAGCGGGACTACGTCCTCTCGGAGTTCCGCAACGGAAAATTTTCAATTCTGGTAGCTACAGACGTGGCGGCCAGGGGCCTAGACGTCGAAGACGTCAAGTACGTCATCAACTATGACTACCCTAATTCCAGCGAGGATTATGTCCACCGTATCGGGCGTACCGGTAGGTGCCAACAAGCCGGGACGGCGTACGCGTTCTTCACTTCGAATAACCAGAGGCAGGCCAAGGACCTGATAGCCGTTCTAGAAGAAGCGGGCCAGACGGTCACACCTCAGTTGCAGGAACTCGCTCAGAGTGCCAGGTCCACCCAGAACAACCGGAACCGCTGGCACAACAACCGCAACAAGGACAACTCGTCGCCCAGCTCGCAGAATTCCGGCGGGAAGAGCAAGACCTGGTCCAATAACAAGACGTTCAATAACAGCAACGAATTCAGACCGAACGGCATCAGAAATAACATTAACGGCAACAGGAACGAGGGGGTACAGAGGAATCCAAGGAACAATTATTCCAACTCCGGTTTTACTTATACGAATTCGCAGTTCCAAAATAACCAGGGGTATCAGCAGTCGTACAGCCCCCCCAGCGTTTATCAGCAGATGCAGAGCGGGCAAGGACATTCTTACGGTGAGTCTTTTTAACGTACCACAATTATTACGTACGAATTCATGTTAGTCCGACCAGCGAAGATTTTGTGACCTAACTATTAAACCTCTATTGGCGCAGCAAATCTCGGTGAAAAGTAAAACTGTTTTTTTTTTTCTCTTCAAATCGACTAAATAAAGGGTGATTTAAAATTCAGGGCAAAGAATTTTGGGGGTGTATTTTTGAGGTCAAAATAACTATTTTTCCCTATAAATGTGGGTCCACAAATGCTTAGTTTTCAATATACAGGGTGTTAAAGTTTTTATTTTTTCGATTTTTCAGGAATGATTTCCAAAAACATTTGAATGTCATAAAACCTGAGGGACAGGGGTTTTTTTGGATGCTAAATTTAAATATGTCATTGGTTTTGGCGCTGCTTGTAGAGGGCGCCTCCCTCCTATAAGGGTACTCTTGAACTGAATTGGAACTTTTTTGCTACCCTGTACATTGACGTTTCATATTATAGTCCAATGAATCTGTCACGGCCTTTACAAAAAATACAACCTGGAAACAAAAAATATGACGATATAGGAAAAAATTTCTGAGATAGTGTATTTTTTCTGTGGCGCATAAACAGCGAAGTTAACGTAGAAAAATCATAAAAGTCAAAAAAACGGTTTTTCGCTAATAAAAAAAAACTTGAACTCCAATTGAAAAAAGTTAAATGATAAAGTTGTAGCTATTAAAAAAACTTATCGATTCGTATTTTTAAATATATCCATTGCTGTATTACTTTTCGAGGTATACGGAAAAAACCGTCAAAAATCGACTTTTTTTGTTTTTGCTGTATCTCTTGCAAATTAAGGTTTTGAAACTTGTTACTTGCTGTAAATGTAGCCCTCTTGAAGCAAAAAAGTACCTTTTTTAAAATTAAAAAATATTTAAAAAATTTTAGAGATTGATTTTTCGAAAAAAGGTCATCTCGAAAATCGGATCTTCTTGCTCGATGAATGGTCGTAGAGAAACAAATCAAGGCTCATTTCTTTCCTTAAGAGTTGTATTTTCATGGTAAAAAAGAGTGATAACGATCTTATTCAATTCAAGTGTCCAAAGATGACTTTGAAAAAAGTAAAAAAAAATTGTTCGCGTTTTTCTGGAATATCTTTTTTGATTTTCATTTCTCGATAATGTCTATTACAGGAATCGATTGCTGATATTTTATCGCGAATTAAAAAAAAAAAAACGCTCTACGCCCATCTGAAGCCGAGATCTTTTTTTTTTTCAAAAAATTCCACAGGCCGCTATTTAAGTGCTACAACGTCCATTCTTACAGACATTGAAGTTGAAGACTTATATTTTTAATAAAAAAATACTGCAATTATGCTTTTGATGCTGTCGTAAACGTCATATTTTGTTTTATCTCGTCGAGCTACTCCAAAGTAAGTACAAAAGAATTTTTGTACGTGGTTCAAAAGTCGAGATAATGAAGATTTTGAAAGTAAGAGTACTTTTGAACGTGCGAATTCAGTTTTGGGAGCTGCCGAGTAGCGTTACCCCCACTCCGTCGCCCGCTACAGTTAGCTCGCGCCATGCTCAAATGCCTTGGTTTGACGCACAATTAAAAATGCAGAAGTGGCTAAAATGAACCACAGTATTTCTTTATTGAAAATATAAGTCTTCAACTTCAATCTCTGTAAGAATGGACGTTGTAGCATGTATATAGCGGCCTGTGGAATTTTTTGAAAAAAAAAAAATATATTTCGGCTCCAGAAGGTCGTAGAGCAATGTTTTTTTTAAATTCGCGTAAAAATGCCAGTAATCGATTCCTGTAATAGATATTATCGAGAAATGAAAGTTGAAAAAGATTAGAGAAAAACACAACTAAAAAATTTTTACTTTCTTCAAAATCATGTTTGTACACTTAAAATGATTAAAATCGTTATCACTCTTTTTTACAGCAAGTTTAAAGAAAAAAATGAGCCCTGATTCGTTTCCCTACGAATTTTTATCCGTCAAGCAAGAAGAGCCGATTTTCGAGATGACCTTTTTTTCGAACAATTGTTATAATTCGAAAACTTTTTAATATTTTTTAATTTAAAAAAAAGGTACTTTTTTGCTTGCAGAGGGCTACATTTACAGCAAGCAACAAGATTCAAAACCTTAATTTGCAAGAGATACAGTAAAAACAAAAAAAGTCGATTTTGGAGGTTTTTTTGATATATCTCGAAAAGTAATATTGCAATAGATATATTTGAAAATACGAAACGATAGGTTTTTTTAATAGCTACAACTTTCTCATTTAACTTTTTTCAATTGGAGTTCAATATTTTATTTTTATAGCGAAAAACCGTTTGACTTTTATGAATTTTTTAGGTCAACTTTTATGTGCCACAGGAAAACATTATATTTCTTAGAATTTTTTTCCTGTAGCACCATATTTTTTATTTCCAGGTGGTATTTTTTGTAAGCTGTTCTACCTATTGACTGGGCTATTAGTACGTTTATTTCCCTTTCAATTTTGAGCAAAAGAGGTATACTTGGTCGAAATCTCTCAAGCCAACCGTTTCTAAGATATTGAAGAGTTAAATGCAACCATATTTTCAAATTTTACCGTGATAAATTTTAAAATTTAATTCCACCATCTTATCAGTAACGCAATGATCTTGAATTTTAGCTCTTTACATTTTTGTGATACAACTAACCGTTTTCGAGAAATTCACTACTGACTAAACGGTAGTATTGTCACTATTGTCTGAGGCTAGTTAAATTTAATTTTGAATGCAGAAAACCGCTATTTACTTTACTGTAACGTTAAATATTTTTCCGTTCTCCAAAAATAAAACGATCGTATTTCAGGCAACAACCCTCGCAGCTACAACAACCAACGGTACAACCGTCAATCGTACCAGGGCCACTCCCAGGGCGGCAGCCCCAACATGTACCACACGATGCCCGCCCATTACATGATGCAGACGCCCGGCACGGACGGCATGCAGTCCATCATCAACCACAAGTTCTTCCAGAGCCGAGGCCTGCCCAGCACCACGAACCCGTGCGCCTACCAGTCCATGGGCCAGGGCCAGGCGGCCGCCTACAACCAGTTCCCCGGGGCGGTGCAGTACGCCTACCAGTACACGCAGCCGCCCACCGCTGCGGTGCAGCAGTAAGTCTCCTCCGGGAGACGTTCCCCTCTGCCAGCACATCGGACGGTAGTCAAAAATTAATATTCCAGTACAAAATTAGTCGTTGCGACGTGTCGGAACAAATTTCTTTTTTTTTTTTGTCTCCTTTGGGCTGCTCCCGTCCCCGATGTGGTGGTCCCCCCCCCTCCCATAGGTGGTGGCTGCACTGCTTCGCTTGATGTTATAAAACCCTACCCGTTAAGGCTCTCCGAAGATTCTAGGTGTTTGTTCGCTGCAGCGGCCCTTCTGCTCCCCCGGCAAAGCCGCCCGTCAGCGTCTATGTTTATATCCCTTTAGTGTGTACTCTCTCTGTGTGAGTTGTTAGCGTAGTACCCAGTAACTATCTGTATGCTGTTGAAATGCACGAAACATATAGAAGGGGAGTTTGGGCTTGTTTCGTTATAGTATTTTATACAATATTGATGCTGAGATGTATCGTACCGAAATGTAGTTAAATAAAGCAGTCAAAAATTTATATTTCAATGCGTCCGCGTGCCGACGGAAGGATCTGACTGGGTTGGAAATTGATGGTAGTTTTCAGTTTTTTATTTTATTTTCCTTTTTTATTTCGTTCAGGCGGTGGTCGCCGAAATTCCGCGTTTGGTAGTTCTCGATTCTTTGAATTATGGATGTTTGACTGTACCGGGAAATTAGCCAAGAGTGAGAGTTCAATGATTTCCGGTGTGTACGTGTCGTATGCCCGTACCACGTTTTATTTATTGCGGATCTTGACATGACTGCTTGTGTCGTGTACATATGCGTAGTATTAAGTATTTAACTCGTTCGTCGTTTAGCGTGGTGCTGAAGAGCGCTTACGTCCATCTGTGATATTTTAGCGAGTAAACGGTAGCAAAAGAATAATAATATAAACTTTTCCGAATCGGGAGAAGCGCCAATGAAGCGTTAAGGTTAAAGCAATGTACTTTACAAAAAAGAAATACATTGACAGGAATGTGATATTTTCTATTAAGACTGAAATATCTAGATATATTTTTTTTATACTTGGCCGAAGAACCCGGTCAAAATTAAACCTCAAATAACTTAACATTTTTATGTCGTGTATTGTTTTTTTTTTTTTTTTTAATTATAAAAAGAAAAGGTTGTTGAAGTGCGATTCTCTGAAATCGGACCGAGCGCGCGCAGATATTCGTTGTGCACAAAAAGTTATTTCATTATTCTGTAATGTTATCATCGCGCCATTGCATTGTAACGATTGACGATTTTACATAATATTTAATATTTTTCAATCAATATCTTCCTTTGATTGTAATCTCAAAGTACCCCTAGTAATCGTAAGTCTCGACCAGAACTGTTTTGAAATCAAATGTGATCCTCAAAGAAGCGCGATTTTGGTCACGTTTAGTGTATAGTGTTTTTCATTGAAAAAAAATTTATAGTCACATGGCGCCCACTTATTAAAACTCTCTAAACGATAATGATAGAATTATTTATACTCTTCTGTAAGTTTCCAGCAAGTGCATTTCTTGAATGTAATACAGTATTAATATTATATAGTTGTAATTTAAATATATCTTTCATTTTCTTATTGTTTTTTGTGTTATTTGTTCTATTTTTAAATTGGATGTATATGGAAAATCCATTGAAAATTCAAATAAAGATTTACTAATATATTGCACGGGTGGTTTTCATTGCTTCCACTTCGCCAAATCGAACTTTACAGAGAATTTCTGTCCTGAGGAATGTACTTTGACCATGTCCTAAAACTTTTTGAAAAAGTCCCTGAAAGGTCCAAAAATAAAGTGCTTTTATAAAGACGGTTCCTAGTTGAGGAAACGAAACGCTGAACTTCGGAAATCTGTGCAGTAAGTTTGATCGTGATACGGTTTTTTGCATTCGATTCGTTAGAGCGTCCAGAAAGTTTGTGACCCTTGTGATCAATGAGAAATGAAAATTTCATCGGTGCATAAGAAAAATACATTTTTAAAATTGCATCGAAGTTAAAATATGAAAAATTTATAACTTGTCGGAAATGAGTTCAATGGTCTCCGAGGTACCTAGTACCCAGGGTGGTCGGTTTCCACGTCGTCTCCTGGAGTTTTGTGGAAATTCATTATAAACTTAGCCGAAAATCGTTACCTCGGGGTTTTTGAGGTCACTGAACACGAATATCACAGCGGCAACCGTTGCCGTCGTGATATTCGTGTACAGCGACCCCAAAAACCCCCGAGTAGCAAAATTGAACTCATTTCCCTTATAAAATTTTTATTACTCATGATGGATAAGTCCTATCTTTTCGCATATTTTTTAAGTCGGTAACTAGCTGTTTGCCCACTCAATTTATTTGCGTGCAGTAATATTACTTGTCGCACGCAAATTGCCAATAAAACTCGCAAAATTTAAATACACACTCGAAAATATTATTTTTAAAAAGTTAAATTTAAATGACAGTTATTTATGTCAACTTAAACTGAAAATGTGGACCCCACGGGGGCTTCGCCCGTGGACTCTTAAGATTTCATTGCATTCGTAATAAAAAATAGTATGTGCTATTCGTGCGGTTCTCTATTGCCCACTTGAGCAAGTGAGCGCACGAACGAAGTGACTGCTTTTGTGGGCAATAGACAACTTACCGCACTTATTGCATAATATAATATTTTATTTTTTAACTGAGATGCAATTTTAAAAATGCATTTTTCTTATGCACCGATGCAATTTTCATTTCTCATTGATCACATAGGGTCACAAACTTTCTGGACGCTCTAACGAATCAAACGCAAAAAACTGCATCACGATCCATCTTACTGCACAGATTACGGAGGTAAGGCTATTTTTAGTGCTTTATTTCTTCGACTCTCCGTACACAACTGGCATTGCCAAACACGCTTTGATGGTCGGTTTTTGTGCAAAGGCTTCTGTCGAGAACAAAATCGAAATAGTTCTATAAAAATTAAAGGATGATTTATTTGTGTTATTTTTAATGCATTTACCAAATGCAGGGTGTTTGGAAAAGTTGCTACAAAATTTAAAGGGGTGAAAGTAGAGCCAAAAAGAGGGAAAATAGTTCTTGTAAACATTGGTCCTGATTTTTATAAGATCCACTTCTTATTTGTGGAAGGGTGAAATGGGCGGTGACTATTAGACGCCTTCATTATAGCCATCTTTATCGGATGGATTTCTGTGACTTATGGCCGGTCCTCATGTACAATAATTTAGTGCGGAACTGCGGAGATGCGGAATCACGTGATCACAATATCGAAAAAATATTGGACGCACAGCAGCCATTTTGAAAAAGTGACAGAGCCGCATGCGTTCCGGATAAAAGTTGACGGTTCAACTTTTTCCGTATTCTGGTGTTTACTTTTGTGCTCGTGTGACATTTATCGGCCATTTGTATTTGTTTATATTCTGAAAACGTGTTTGATTAGTTTATTTTTTATCTTTTTCGTCTCTATAATTAATTATCAGCCAAGAAAATATCTCTCACCCACATTTTTTAATGTTTTTTTTGAAACTCCAGAATAGAATTGTATAATACATTTTTATAAATCTTTCTCGGTAACATTTTTTATACCTCAAAGCACAGTCTCTGTATTGTTTCATTGAAACAGCAAGAGCCAAGAAAGCTGTATCTTCATCAAAGTTTTACATTGTAAATATATTTCACATAAAGATTAATAGATAATTATTTGAAATATCTCAATGAAAATACTCGAAAAGAAACCGGTACAAATTTCTAGGTTATCCGCATCTACTATTTTTGAGATTTGCATTTGGACAATAGTTTGAAAATTGCGGAGATTCGCAGTTACGCATCTCCGCAGTAAATAATTGTACATGAGGACCGGCCATTACTTTATCGTTCTCACGTAACGGCCGATGAACCATGGGGACTTTTCGACCCTGTATATTTAAAAATTTAAGAATTCTTATGCAGCTGTGTATACACATGCATTGTAATGTATGTTGCCTACCGTACAAAAACTTACATGTAACCGTAAAGAAAAAAATTGAAAACTTAAGGTGCTAGACAGGAACTGCATACAGTTTTGGATTGGCCAGAACCGTTATAGTTCATCGGAAATACTTCAAATATTTCAGTCCTAAAATTTTTGAGAAAATCGATGAAAATTGTTAAAAAATTAAAATGCTCATCTAAGGACAGGTATGGATCTGGGGTCGCTGAACATACTATAATGGTAGGTTTTTGTGCAACTGACCCACTTGTGGGCAGCAAGGGTGATAATTTATTGCGATTAAGTCTCCTTTTGTACTGGTTGTGTAAAATAATTATGCTTAAAAAAAAATCAATTCAAGGCTAGTGTGAACGTAAAGGAAGCATCCAAAATAATAAAAATAGGAAAAGTAACTCAGTTTTCATAAATATGAATTTATTTAAATAACAAAAACATATATACATATTCGAGTTTTATTAGGAAAAAATAACATTGAAAATGAATGAGATGCTGTTAAAAAATTTTAACTGCACAAAGGAAAGAAAATGTTAAATCTCGTTTATAAATTTTTTAAAGGGTACAATCTTAAATTATCCTTTAAGGTAGCAGTTTTTTAGATAATCGTTTATATAAATATATATTGCCGGAAGAAAAATCTGTTTAATTCAAGGCTTTGACATATTAATACATACAGATAAACGTGGCCTTGATTCAAGTAACTCCATCAATAGTTTAACCGCCTTTAATAATATATTTTCAAGCTTTATCAACGGTAATTATTTCAATAATTCAGCTGAACGTGGCCCTTCACAAATAAAAACAACACAAAAACCAACAACTAAAAATTAAACAGGTACTTGGACAGCCTTGGAATATCCGTAAGGACCTCTTCATCCTCACTATCTGACTCTGTGGAGGAATAGTTCAAGTCGGAACTATCCATGCTTACGTCCCAGTTGTCAGAGCTTGAATCTGAATCATGTCCGAATAAATCTAAAATGTGATTTTCGGTGCCCGTTATGATGACATTTGTGAAAATCTGCAACGACAGTTTGAAATACATTGCTGAGAAAATTTTATGTTGCAAGTGCCTTACCTTATCATCTGTCAGCTGAAGGGGGTTATTTAACAGATTGATCTTTGTATTAGGCATAGCAAAAATCATTGCTTCGGGTAAAGAAAAAAATTCGTTATTCTGAAGATGGAGGTATCTCAAAGTTTTAATTTTCGATATTTGATGAGGTATAATATTAAAGTTGTTTTTATTAAAGTTTAAATGTATTAATGAGAGTTTTCCAAAGTCTTGAGGTACGTTATGCAGATTATTATCTTCTAATGTTAACCACCTGCAAATACAATGTTCCACAATGCCAAAAAAATACCTTCCAAATAATCGTATACCATTACCTTAATTTTTTTAAACTGCAAATTGCATTAGGTAGTTTAGATATCTTATTATGCCTTGATCCAAACGTTTCTAAATTTATTAAGTTTCCTATGTCTTCCGGCAACGAAGTCAAACAGCAGCTATTACACCATAATATTTCTAAAGAAGTTAGGCAACTAATGTCTTTTGTCAAGTGTTTAATGGGGTTATGGCTTATGTTTAAAGTTATCAGTTGTGACAAACATTTTAAAGCCTCTGGGAACCTATCTAAATTATTATATTCTAGTGCCAAATGCTGCAAATTTTTTAATTGAAATACATCACACGGTAAATCTCTTATCTTGTTATGGCCCAGTTTTAAGGAATACAAATCTTGGCAATTGAGTAAAATATCAGGAAGGGCAGTTAGATCAAAATCTTCTAAAGTTAAATTTCTAGCTTTCGAACAATGCGCCTTCTCAATTTTGGCTATAACACGATTTCTTTGAATAAAGTCGTACACTGGATTCATTTTGAACTCCGTTTGTGGATTTTTGCACTATTCTAAAACTACATGTATTATGTAAATAATAAACAACTACTTCATTTTATAAATATTTTTGTTGACAACTGAACTAAAACTGTAACTAGTCTGTAAGTCAAAGTCAAACAATTTACATAACACGTGACTTAGAAACCATAACTGCTAAAATTATGGAAAATATTCAGGGGTCCGTTCAGAAACATAGATTTAAGAACAAAAAGATAAGACTTTAAGGTATATACTACTCTTAAGGCGACAATGTAGACGAGTGACGGAGAGAGAGGAGACAGTTTCGGTACCATCTTTCTCTCTCGCACGCAGGTGCGTGATTGGCTAACGCAACTTCTTCATGAACGATTAGAGAGAAGAAGCGAGTACCCAAACTATCGCCCTTTATCTCGTCAGAGTCTACACTTTTTAACACGCGGTGTTTCCTCTATGTAATATATGCTCTAATCATGCACGGCATTTGAAATAGGCCGTTTTTACTGTAATACATTTCATTTAAAAAATCGGAAAGAATAATATAAAATATAGCATCAAAGCAGTGACGAGACTATCCTGTTTTCCAAACTATAGTACAGATATTTTTAATTTGCCTTATCTTTTCAATGAATAATTACCTAGATATATTTTTAGTTAGCATTCGAACAGATTCTTCAAATAATAAATCAATAATTTGGAGTTTGTGCATTACCCACAATGAATACGTTTAGTTAGGCCAAACATATGTTTATGATATATCTTCAATAAAATTTAATTTTTTCTACAGTGTATAATAAAACAGAGACCGTTTGTGCGCTGTAGTTAGAAAAGTAGGGGTGCGTTACTAAATTTGACTGTGATATTAAAAGAAAAATCATTTAATACGGTAATAATTTTTTACAGAGGTGAGTTTCAGCATGAATTGTGCTGCGCAAAATGCTTTTTCTGATTATGTATAAAAATACAGAAGTACTATCAGTTGGCAATTATAAGATTTATAAAAACGTGATTAAAATTACGTTAACATATACAGGGCGTATTATATTTTTATTACAGTAAGGAGAAAATATATTCACCAATTTTGTTAGACAAAATAACTTTTCTACTAAATAGTATCATTATATACTTTTTATAGTTTTGAAAATGAAATGAGATAAAGACATCACGATCAGAATGGCCACATATCCAGGAATGAGTCTAAGAGGAGAAGTCAGGGAAAGTATTTCTTTAGACGAAGATGACTTGAGCGACGTGGAGGATGAGGTTTTTATCAGAGATGGAAAGAATGGCTATAAGGTATAAAATAGGAACAATATATTTTGGTTTTTTATCGACTTTTTCCAGTTAGCAGAAGAACTGAATGTTAAAAGACCTTTGATGGCGCCCAGGAGAAAGCTGGGTAAACAGGATATCGGTACGAGACTGAAAAATAAACCGCCGTGTAGGGCTTTCTGTAAACCTTGTTGCTACGTTTCGGCGGCACTTGCCGTTCTTATAGGTAATACAAATATATATACATTACAGTAATGAACGTATTTTTGGATATCTATCTTTTCACATTTTAGGACTTATAATTTTAGTAGTGATCCTAGTCTCCATGTACCCATTGCCTTTGGATCGGTTCAGAGATTGGGTTATCAAAAAATCGCATCCCGAAGACGACGGTAGGACCAAACTATTACCTTGCCACAACTTAAAAGTAACAGAGGTGTGGTCGGTTACGTTGCCAAAACTAACCACGGATTCTCCTGTACGCTCTTTAGATGTCAATGCCGACGGTGTGGAAGATATATTATTTGGATTTGGGACAGGTAAGTAGTTACAGTTAACTTTGTATTTAATTAAGACATTATTTATCGCCCTTGTAGGTGATAATTCCGACGTATTACCTCCTGACATTTTCTGTCCAGTAATTATGAGTGTACAGCCTCCCTGTGAGGGAGGTGTTGCAGCGCTGAACGGAATAACTGGAGACATAATTTGGCGACACTGGTTTAATGACACTATATTTGGCTTACATTGTACGGCTGATATAAACGGGGATATGCAGAAGGACTGCTTGGTGACCGGCATGAAAGGGGTAAGCGATATTACTTGTATCACTCGTTTATGAGTTGCAAATCTGTAAATTTAATTTTAGACCATCGCAGTAATCAATTCCAAGAATGGAAGTGTCATTTGGCAATTAGATACGGGACTGTCAAACATCTTTGTAGCCAATTTCATCCAAGACCAAAACAACGACAGCGTTTCGGATATTTTGGCTTCTCATTCGTCGCTGACCGGTATATGCCGAATACATTTTATCGCGACAGTTCACTACACTAATCTATAATTTTCAGCTGAAAGAGACGGCCATATCGTTTTGTTTTCTGGAAAGGATGGGCATGAGATTAAAAGGACATCGACGTTTGATAATGCCAAAACATTTTATATGCCACAAATGGTATCGCTAAATAGCAGCGTCTTTGTACTTTTTGGAACCGGATCTCCGTCCACTCCTGGAAATTTAAGTTTAACACCTTTGAGTGACATAATGATGGGAGTTTTCGTAAGTGCTTTATAAAATATCGGAAATTATCATTTTTGATTAATGCGAGTGACGTAGTGTTAGATAAAAGTAAAATAGGTAACAAGTGAACTAATTTCATAAGCAAATAATATTTCTATTATTGGTTAACCAAAAATGACCACAATTTTTTGGAATTTAAATAGGACATCTGTTTATTCCGGTTTGAAACTAGATTTTAAACAATTCTGTTATTTTACATAAAAATTTATCAAAAAAATTGATGTGTCCATTTCTTATCTTTAGAAACATAGAATCGATCCATAAATTTAGAGCAGATTAGTAAAATTTTCTTTTTATGAATTATGACTACTTAAAGATGACTTTTTTAAATAATTTTTTCTATCATCCGTCACCAAATGTTTTAAAGTAGTTTCGTTTTCCAAAACAGAAAACCTAACTTACAACATAAAGTTCATTTTTGTTGTAGTCGAATCAAACACAAGTATTATATAGAGACAAATTCAAGGGTATAATAACACCGTCCATTATAGTGGATATAACAGGAGATAAAGTACCAGACATTATTACAGCCATGTACAATTCGACCGTAGTTGCAATAAACGGAGTAACACTCCAACAAATATGGAATTACACAATTCCCGGACCCAACTCGGAGACTAGCATCAGTCCTACGCCTGGATATTTCAATTACGATAACGTCACTGACTTTTTAGTTATTTATCAGAAATACGACAGTATTCTCAACAACAACTACACACAGGTGAGTGTCCAGGTTGACGTTTGTCATTTGTTTTTAATTTTGGATAAGAATTTCTTTCTTTTACTTTTCCTCAGGCCTTCATTATTGACGGCAAAACCGGACAATCGATCTATAGCCCTTTCGGGGGAAGCCTGATCACCCAAATGGGAGGGCTAACTATCAGCATGGAGAATCACGGGTACGACATGTATTTATTTTGGACAGCAGAGTGTACTAACATCGAAATGTTCAAGAAAACAGGGGTCCAAAAAGGTACATTAAACAATTAGTCAATTTTTCAAATAATTGAGTTGTTAATATAAGTTGTTTCCGTATTTTTAGGAAAGTTGGGTGATTTTTATGATGAATGTCGCCGACAGTTTAACACGACTAGAATTTTGAAGTTGAACGTGTTGAATCAGTTCCATCAACCACCAGGGTTTGTCATTTACAATTCGGGTAAGTCCTCATAAAGCAATTATTATTACAGTATTAGAACATTTTAATTTTTAGTTGATCATGTAACGAAAGAATTTGGCAGCATGAAGTCGTCGTTGAAACAAGTAAAGGAGTTCTATCGTTCGCATGAGAAAGTTCACATTGAAGCGGCGGGTCAGAGTGAGGTGGACGAAAATTACAGCGTTGACGCACCCATAGGAATCAGGAAATATGGAACCTCTAATTTCCGACATAAAGACGGTCGAACCGGCATCGTCAAAGACTACGGTCCTTCGGAGGTGAACAGCCCCATTGTCGAGGATCAAGTATAAAAACATCGATTCTCTTTTTTAATATCTTAATAATCTTGTATTTCAGGATGGCGCAATCTCGAACACGGACTACGACTGGCCCCAAAATCAGCCCTCGAATGTATTAAACGATTTAGATGGCCTGGAGCCTGAATTTAATAATTATCCCATCGATGACAGCATCCCGTACAACCAGAAGCACTTGCTTATTGACGAAAGCTCTCGGAAAATGGGCAGCCGCGATCCGAGAAGTAAAGAGAAGACAGAGTCATCCAATAAAGTAGATCCCAACTCCAAAAGCAACCAAAAGGAAAAGTCAAGATCCAGTACGAAAAAGAAAAATTTATCCGATAAAAAATATGGAATATATGATTACAAAAATCTCCGCTCGGCGCAAAATAGGCTCCTCCACGACATAAATAACATACCGACGGAAATTTTGAAGGATACTTTCTTCAAGAATGAGGAGAGACGATTGAGGAAATCCAAGTTCGAACAGAGGGATATCAACGCTCACAATGACAAGATAAAAGAAAACGAAGACATACAGAGCATTATAGAGGAAGAAAAGGTGGCTCTGCAGAACAATTCGCTGAATCTTTGGGACTTGGAATCCGAGAAGGAGGTACAGGACTGGGAGAGTGGAAATTACAGAGGAAAAAGGGAAGTGAACTATACTTTTGATAGCGTCACTAAAATTACATCAGTAGGTGAGTAATGCCTTAAATGGATATCTAGGTCTAAGCTAACACAAAATACCAAGTTGGTTAATAGGAAACTGCAAGCGGAGATCTTTGATTTTATCTTTGCATCATATGAAAGTTCTTATTTTTCTCCACAACTTTTATTAAACAGGTTTTTCCATATCTCTTCTCGTTGGAAAGATATGAAATGACAAATAGAGAAAAACACGGGTTCGATCAAGTGTGTTACTGATTTTATCAGCATTGCCGTAGAAAACATACATTTAATGTTTATTACTGATGTGTTTTAATTATTTTTATTAATACGGCTTTATAAAAACCGTAAATGATTTATATGATATAAAATGAATGAATACGAACTTTGAAGTATTTTTTCCACAGCAATCTTTCGAATGGGAAGAGGGCTCAACTTACCTAGGAATTTTAAGTTGTATATTTATATTAATGTCGTAAAGATCCTCATTTGCGGTTTCCTTTTTGGTTTTCTGTAACGGCAGCCAAGTGAACAGCAAATATTTTATGACTTAAAATAGAAAAAAAAAGGTATGCACAGTGTTCAAATTTCTAAATAATTGATTTGTTGTTCATTTTTATAGTCCGCGTTACAGAACTGGACGTGTTAATATTTTCTATGAAATGTATGGTTACTTTCAGGTGCAGTAGTAAATCCTTTCAACGTCTCGAACAACACGAATGCCATAGACATTGTTTTCGTAACTTATTGGCAACCGGCTATTTTAGAAGAGGACGTCTTATTGAAACAAGACATACACGATTGTGTGGAAGAAAAACTATTGCAAAAATCAGAAGGTGAGCAATAGTATTAACGAAAAAAAAATCATTTAAACAAAAAAATATGTACGTTTTACTTTTTGTACAGGGTGTTTTCTAAGTCTATCCCATCACTTCGAACATAAGACCGTTGGTTTTCTAAAGGCTTAAGTCTGAAGCAATCTGAAGAATGTTCAGGGTTCATAGTTCAAAAGTAATAAAGAATTCCCTGACTTTTCCAGGTTTTCCCTGACTTATAAAAAAAAATCCAGGTCACTTGTAGTTCATTTTTACATACTAATTGGTGTTTATGCATTAAATTTTTTTTCGACTGGACTCGCATAATCTTTTTTATACCCTAACAACCTCTTATAAAGGTTTCAAAACCATAAATAGTTTTCTCTTTCAAGAACCCAGGGCCGGCTTTCACAAAATTTCCAGTTGCAAACATCAAATTCCCTGACTTTCATGAATATTTTTAAAATTCCCTGACTATTCCCTGTTTTTTATGAAGAATAACAAATTCCCTGACTTTTCCCGGTATTCCCGGCCACTACGAACCCTGATGTTATACCACGGACTTAAAAAGCACCCAGTATATTTCGTTGACATTTTACACTTGCAGATCAAAGTCACGAGTACCCAAAAACGATGGAGAAAGATCAGAGGGCTTCATATAAAAGAGAATGTTTGGCTGAACAGGCCAATTTAAAAAATGATGTCGCCTATTTCCAGCAACTGTTTCAACTTAGATTAGGTCAAATGACCGTCTACAGATTAAGAATAGAATGTGAATGCTTAAGTGTAAATACGAATGAAAGGTGTGTTAAATTTTTACCCAAGAGTGATCAAAGCTATCCCTCATATTTAGGAAGGAACGGCGACGGTGTTTTCTTTGTTAGAGATTAGTAATTTCTTAATTCGTTTGGTTTAATATGCCCTTAGAAAGTGAGAAATGTTTGTCACCTAATACAGATCCGATTACACTGGGGTATTTTTAGTTATTTATTAACCACACATTTTTATAATCATTGTTAATTAGGCTGGACATCGTCAAAAGCTAGTTATAAATCAGATGTAAAGTAAATAATGTTTTATATTTAAAAAATAGTAGCAAATAAGTAAAAATACCTCATACATTCTATTTTTGTGTACCTGGATTAATTTAAATAACACTTTACATAGTAATTTTTAAATCTATGTTAACAGCTAGTGATACCAAAGAGGTTTTATTATTTTGTGGAAAAGAAAACGTCTATTTTATATGCAGAAATATTCGACAATCTAATATTATTTGTGGTGAATTGTGAAATTTAGTTATACAATCAATAGTACTATCACAAAAATTCTTTGCGATGTATGGGTTGATTCTGCGCACACCTGTAAACAAATATGTAACTTATTATAAGCTTAGATAATTTGCAATTCTACGTTACATGCAGCTTACAGAAGTTCTCACGAAACTGTGATTTTCACAACTGAACCAGATGTCATCAGAACGGCTTACCGGATCTTTGTGTGAGGTTAAAGAAATATAAAATAATTCTGACCAATTTATTTATTTGAAGAATGAATCTATTAATTTACGGAATATAAATCTACCATCTGAGAGATTTTGATATAAACACTTGTTCAATCTTATTTCACATTGTTTTATGTTTACTTTTTTCCAACTATTCATTTACCACTACTATAAAAATATGGGCAGCAAACTTACCAGTAAGGTTTATATTTTTATGATTTATAGATACAAAAAAACTATATTTAATTGATGTTTCACTTTCATTTTATATAAAAATACGTTTGTAGATGAAATTTTTAAGGTTAAGGTCAATGCAAATTCAGTGACGTGAAGTTGCAGCTGCAGTAGTTCATTTGCATCTCTGTCCAGGGAGTACAGGGACGGCTCCAGAATTGCATACTTTACGTAAATATTGTAACAAAATTAACCGTGGCTTATTATATAATTATAAATTTACAGAGAAACACAGAATCGACCGTTTATTATCGTTTAAAAAAATACAAATATTTGTGAAATAGCAAATATATGAAAAATTATATTAATAAACATATAATAATATCAATGCTTCCTTCATATTGCTCTATATTAAAGTATTTAACAAGGTTACTATAAATCAGTAATACTACAGTGATAAATTACAAAACAAGTGTTAAAAGAATTACACCCATAATTTTATTTGGGTTACAGTCAGTGACGGCTCGTGAAAATTAAATGGGTCATATTTTAATAATAATAAAGAATAGGACTCATATTGTTTTGTAAAGGATGACTTCTAGGTCCACATAAAAAAATTTCATGATGAAAAAATTTTGAATAAAATATAGGCATATTTGGGAAAGGGATGTACATTATTTGCAAAATATTTTTTTATCATAATTGACTAATACACAAGATCAGGGCTAAGCAATGTAAGGCGTTCCTGGACGGAAATGCGGTCTACTGCATAATATATCCACATAAAATTTTGTGAAAAATTAGAAATATCTGCCAGTTGATAATTTAGAAAACATATTTTAAATACATATACAACCCGTTTCGAGATCTCTGGGTGGGCCATTCCTATTTTTCCAAATTTTTTCAACGAAAGTTCGCTAGGTGACACCTAAAAATCATCCCCTAACCAATGATATGGGTCCCACGCTTCATTATCCCGTCACTGGTTTATTTTTAATTATAACATCTATATCTAAAGTCCAACCCTGTCTGCTAAAGCTTACCTTATATGGTTATTTTTGATGTACTAATCTATTGTTTTTTTATCTTTGTGCTTTGTTTTTTTTAAGCTTGGTTTACAGATGTTGTACATTTTTATGTTTCTTATTGTGTATAAAGTAAATCCATGGTATATAAAGCTCATGTGCTTGAAAATCTCGAGCGTCATTTAACTATTTGTTCGCGTTTGAGTTCTTGAGCTTCACGTATAATACAAAAACGCAGTAAAGATATACTTGCACACAGTTACACGCGCAAAAGAAAATGTTTTTTAAAATGTATTTTTTAATGATATGTACAACACATGTAAACTAAATTATTCTTACCAGTAAGTATAAACCCTTGTAAATCGTAGGTACCTATTTATTTCACAATGTATACATTTAGAAACATATATTATAAACTATTTTGCATAATAAAATTTTGTGTATAAAATGTGTTTAATTTCCAATTTTTTTTCTATATTATAATGAGCTTAATAAAGAACAGCTCACACTAAGTTTAATAATCATTTTCTATTTGAAGTCACTGATTTTCTACATAGTCATAAATTCAAGTCCTATCCTTTTAAAAATATTACAAAATGACAATCCTGAGTCGCCGCGCCATTATTCTATGGCTAGAAATTGGCCTCAATGATTTGGGATCGAGGGGGATTATCCCTCTTTATCCTGCCTCATCTCGTGTAGGCCTG